ACATATTTCATACTAAGGTTTGTTCTTATAAATTGACTATATCCACAGGCCTGATGGGAAAAATTTATGTCTGCCAGCATATATCCCCCGGAATTCAAAATGGCGGCCATGTGAAGATAGATTGAGACTCTATATAGATTGTAAGCTTATATATATATATAGAGTGCTTATAGATATATAAAGCTACCAACCCTTTCAATTTATAGTATTTACAGTCTTAAGACATGAAATAATTGTCAGTTACCCCAAACTTGTGGATTACAAGTCGAAAAATTAAATTTACGATTTAAAAAGTTTACTTTTTTCGCTTATATCAGTGAAGCTATGCGTTCTATCTACAATAATGTATATGAGAAAGTAAAGCTGACTTTTATATTCAACTGTTGTATGGTGGCATAGGGCAAGAGTGGGCCACAACAGGATACAATTGGAAAAATTACAGAGATTAGCCTGTTTAATGATAACGGGCGCAATGAAAACTACTCCAACTGCAACTATGGAAGCAATATTAGGTCTATCACCACTGCAACTAAAGATTGAAAAGCAGGCTGTGAAAACTTTTTACAGGCTACAAAAATTAAGCTTATGTTCAAAGATAAACACCCTGGAGGGACATTGGGAAATAGTTAAAAAAATTGAGGTGGACAGGTTGCTCACAATGCATTCTGACACTCAAACTTGAGAATTCCTCACAAAGATGTATAATGTAAAAATAAACAGCTCAGGAAAACACAAACCCATTAATGGGATTAATTGTTATCCTACTGGGTCACTTATGACATGCGGATCTGGTGCTGGTTTTTGGAGAAGGGATAAACCAGAGGCTGCCATGTCAATACCACTTGGAAATTATGAAACAGTATTCAAATCTGAAATTCTGGCGATAACTCACCGTGCTTCAAAATTGTTGCTTGACGGGTTAGTTGGGAAGAGAATTGCAGTATATACTGATAATCAATACGAGCACTGGACAACTATACAACTAGATCTAAGGCTGTTGGGGATTGTGTTAGAATTCTCAATGACTTATCCAAACTTAATAAGGTAAACATTGAATGGGTTCCGGGTCACTCTGGAATACATGGTAATGAGACGGCGGATGAACTAGCTAGACTACACTCACAAATGAAACCTATAGCTCCAGAACCCATCTGTGGAATTAGTCAGTGTCTAACAACAAACAGAATTGGGGAGATGTATGGTGCTGAAACTTAAAAGAACTGGTGCTTGAAAAAAAAAAGTCACTCTAGACTGTTTCTGGAAGGAATCTGTCAAAATAGAAGTAATTTACTAATTAATCTGAGCAGGAGCTTATTTAAGAAAATTACAACAGCATATACAAGACACTGTAAACTGAATTATCACATGTTCAATCTCCGGCTCACGGAGTCGTCTTTGTAGGTACTGTGGCCAGGAGGATGAGACAGATTATCACATTACTTGTTGGTGTGACAGGTTGCTGTCACACCACTACTTGTTGCTGAACTAATATTCCAATTATTCGGCATTGATAGGATCACTGATCCCAAGGCGAACTAGTTCATCAATCCAACAAGCTTATTACAGTTTATTGAGACAGCAGGAATTACGCTCTAAACTGGAGTGAATATAAATAAGGCATACAATAGGCCTACATGGCAGCAGTGCAAAAAAAAGATACTGACAAAATTTGCAATAGAGATGGTTGTATTAGTTTCTTTTGTTATATTTTATAGTTTCTGTGATATCCGTCCTTGTAATTCACTAATTTCGAGAAAAAAAAAATGTTTGCACCACATTTTTATCATTATTTGACTCGCCAACTGTGTATCATTTCATTTTATTAAAAAGTCATGAGGAAGAAAGTTGTTTAATATTAAATTTTCGTTAAGAACATATATTACTTTACCATCTTGTCTTCAACCATTAAAAGGCTAGAGCAACTATAACTTTATGATTAAAATCTGAAACTATATAGAATAATTTTTGCATTTTCGTTATTACACAGCTCTACATTTTTATATAAGATTAATTTGTATATATGTATATTATTTAGGCAAATGTATACGCATGTATGTTACAAATTCAATATCTCAATTCTTGAAATCCAAGGGTATGCGGGAACTGACTATTATTATGTCTTAAGATTGTAAATACTATAAACTCAAAGGGTTGGTAGCTTTGTATATCTACAAGCCCTCTATATATATGCTTGCAACCTATATAGGGTCTCTATCTACCATCACATGGCTGCTGTTTTGTATTCCAGCGGCTATTTGTTGTTAACACACGGCATTTCATTTGATTCAATTCTTATTTCCCGAACAACTTAAGCTCCATAAAACTCTGGACTATATCCCTCTGTTAATTTTTGTCTTTTGAGAAATAGTGGTTGGTATTTTTGTACTTAACATGCCGAAAATGAGTAATGATCATTTTTGTTAAAGATGGGTTACTGAATACAAGATACTTTCAATGCATCTATTCTTACATTTGTTACAAAATAACAATTTTATTGTTTATTTCATTTTAAGTTTTTTATTCTTCATTCTTACAGCTCTAAATTTAAGTATGTAAAAGTATAATGAGTGAACACTTCTATAACAAATCTCAGCACTGTTATTTAGTTAGTAACAAAATCATGTGTTTTTCTATCCTGCAATAAAATTTATTCTGGAACATTTTTAAAATTTTGGTTCAATTAAAAATTTGGTCATAAGAAGATGTACCACAGTATTTACCTAATTTAATGCTTTACATACTACAAGAATACATAGTGTGCATAATTCTCTATGTTAATATTCTGAGGTAAAATGAAAAATGATTCTTCCCTATTACTAAATCTCCGATTTAGTATAGTATGCTTTTCTATTCTATATATTGTTACTTAAAAAGTAAATTATTCATTATCAATTCTTTAGAAAATGAAAAATTCTATCACAATATTACAATTAACTTTAGAAATAATACAAATTTGGCTGAATTTTGGGATAATATTTTTTAAAAATATGGCAAATATTACTTCCCACAACCATATAAATGTTTGGGGAAGTAACTAAACACATTGATGAAATTCAGCGCTTTCATTTACACATCAATTCAGTCACTGACGGCTCAGCAGCAGTTCCCTCAGTTTTTGGGATCGACAGATGTAACCTCAATGTTTTTATAACTCAATTTACTTTACTTCAAATATTAACAGAGGATAACTTTAGTCACCAAAATAATTAAATTAATACTGAGTGGAATTTCAAACACATTTATATATAACCTGTATTTGAGCCTCTACTGAATTCAATGAGCATCTTTCTTTAAGAAAGAAAATGTATTATAAATAAATGAAAAAATAAATAGAAATACGAAATTTTCACATTAAAATAATTCCAATAAATAAATAAAAAAAATTGACTTAAAATAATCACATATATTTAGTAGAATCTGTTGGGCATATGATAAAAAAAAAACATACATATACATATCATATGTATATACGTATACATACACACACACACACATTATATATATATATATATATATATATATATATATATATATATATATATTCATGCACATGTACATATACACACATATATAGCTTTAAAAATTTATTAAAGATAAAACACACCAACTTTTGTGGTTTTCTAGCATCATATAAATTGCAATTATTCATATCTTCTTTACCTAAAGTTAGAAATACATTCAAAATCAACCACTTCATTAAAAAAAATAATAATAAAATTTAAAAAAAATTGTACAAGGTAACTAACCAGACTTTGAATAAACTATATTGCAAAAGATTTGCCTAATATTAAAATGTAATATAAAATTTAATATAACTAACAAACTTTCATAAATGATTAAGTCAGAGAGTAAGCTTATAAGAATCTTTACATATTAAAACAAATATACATATATTCTTAAAGCATAAGCTGCTACAAAACATTATTAATGTTATCTGGTAGTACATATCACAATAAACTGCCACATATGTTTTCAACAGGCATTATAAAAAATATGAGCTGAGGCAACTCAATAATAATAGATTTCTTTACAAAAAATATACATCGAAATCTATATAAATAATATCTATCAATCTTTATTCTCACAAATATAAATCATGCATTAATGATAATTATTTACATAATTACAGTCATTAAGTAGTCTTGACTTACAACTTTTAGTTGCCTGAAAGAAATATAATCTCTTTGTTAAATATATCTTCAAAACACTTACTATATTATAAATTCAAACAAGCTGTAATATTTATATTATACTAAAAGGTTTTATAGTGTAAGTTTACAATTATATTACAAAAATTAAAAATATTATATCTGTTATCAGGTTGAAAATAACACTCTAGGACCTAGATATACTTAATTACAGTAAATGATAAAATATTTTTATAGCACTGTTTGTCATATGAAATATTCATCAAATTATATATTAAAGGTTGTCCTGAAATGAAACAGCAATTTAATTTTCAATGAAAAGTTTAGCACTTCAATAATACATTTTTAAAAATAAAAACACAAATCAACGTTAGATATTCCAAATTTTTAAGTTTCAACTTTTTTATTAAGATATTGTGTCCAATAAATAAAGAAAAAATAGTTAGAATTAGGCAGTCAAATTTATTGTACTAAACAGAAAAGTATGAAAGAAATCTATTTATTTCAACTAGGATATTTATTTCAGGTAGGAATATGTAATAAATACAGCTCTGGGATGCTATAGAAAGTGCCTATGTTCGTACATTGATATGAAGAAAACCAAGTTAAATAAACTCATAAAGTCAATGGAGTTTTGCAAAGAAAACCGATCAGTGCATAGTAAAAGTCTTTCAGATGGGAAGACAGTTTGTTTATAAGTTAAATATTTACTTAATATATAAATGCTTGTAATAACTATTCATTACATGGAAGTTGATGTTATGAAGTATTACAGAAAATTATAGAGCATTTTTACATAATGTACAAGTTTTCTACCTAAAGTTTGACATTCCTAATATATATATATATATATATATATATATATATATATATAATATGTAATAAAAATAAAAAATAAAATTAACAGTAAATATTCTGAATTTTCAATATATTGATGTTTAATTTAAATATGTTTAATGTGAAATTATTCCCTAAATAAAAAATAAAAGATCTAAGCTTTATAAATTTTTATAATAGTAACTCACTAAAAAATTTCCTTGTTAGTTTGATAAAGAGAAATATTTAAAAGGAACAAAAATGGATTCCAAATAAATTTTAAAAAATTAGAATCATGAAGAACAATAATAAAGACTGTGTTCAACTGAATACAACAGTTCTAATAAAAACAACAATTTTAATTGGAAGATAAGATGGTAAATCACAGTGAAGGGGTGATGCAGTGGAAAAGTTTTTTTAAAAATTCAATGTAAATGTTTAAAGTTAAATCAATTAACTAACCTATTAAGTCGGTGGAGTATTACAAAGAAAATAGTCTGTCCTGAAATATGGCCAGGGTACAATAAAGGACTTTGAGAAGAGAGGAATATTTTTCTAAAGTCAAATATGGCCTGTGTGTGCGGGTGTATCTGTATTTTCATAAACATTATTTCTATTTAATAGTTGAATTCAAATACAAATAACTAAATCATAAATTTTCTATGTTTATATTAAAAAAAAAAAAGAAGAAAATAGTTAGGCCTGAGCATTTATTCAAATATTCATACATTATTATAAATGAATTGACAGGTAAGACAGTCTAATCAAAAGTGAGTAAATATGGCACCAACTCATTGACTAATCTTCAAGGTTATAAAACAAGATCTAAATCTAAAATCATAGATATAAAAAATCTGATTTTCCTAACCAAGAAAACACTGGTTTAGAAAACAACTAATCTATCAAAGCATTAATGAAAAACTCAATCAAAACTTACTAACCTATAAATTAAAAATTAAAAGTTCTTGGATACATGGAATACCATTCTTATAGGCACCCAGCCTCCCTATACATTCATTGAAGAGTACCCTGCATAATCATATCAGTACAGAATCAAATATACTATAACTATATGTATGTGAAAACAATACAAACGTTGTTATTAAAAATATATGTATGTATATCCACATTAATATTATCCTTATTTAGAATTAAATAAAAGCATGTTAATATGTAATGGGAAATCTAACCACTAATCAAGTAAACTAGCTGCATGACATCAATTTAATGGCTTTTCAGTCAAGAATCTTTCATGGCTGAAGAGCTTAAGTAAATATATCTTGTAAGTTTCCACACAATTACAGGCATATAAATTAAAAGTTAATTGATAATAAAATTCAATCAACAGTAAATAATAATATAGTATAAATCATTATAAAATAGAAAAGAAATACAAATAATAAAAGTTTAAAATATAAATAAAAAAAAATAAAAAATGAGAATAGTATTTTTTATAGCTCACATACAGAATGGTAGTCTTTTAATATATGATATGAAAAAAAAAGATAAAGGAAATCAAAACAGAAGCAATTAAATTATAATAAATCTTTAGTTAACATTTATAAATATTTATTTCATTTAGTTTCAAATCAGATATACTATATATGCACATGTGTGGGTATACCAGTGAGAGATGTAACATTCTCCCCTTCAAGAAACAAAGATATAAGATAAAAGATTGAAATAAGGAAATTAACCATAAATATAGGAAATGGGTACTTGGTATTTGATGTCAATATTAAGGATGAAGCATTATTTGCTGAAAATGTAATGCTTGACTTCTAGAGAACCAACCAAAACCACACGCAAGATGATTGATGATTTAGAAGAAAATTGAATAGGGGAAAATTTGTACATACAGTATGATGTTATTTATACATCAGTAATTATTTGTTTGAAAAAAAAAATAGTAATGTAATCAGTAAACGGATACGAAGATAAAAATGTACTTACAACTAATCTTTATGTTCAAACAGCCTAAATAAGATGTATAGTATGCTGTGTACATAGCAACTCGATATATTTAGGCAACAATTCTTTCATATTCAGGAAAACATGTTTATATTTTCAGGAAGAAAATAAAGAAAAAAAAATATGAGTAACAAAAACTAGTGAAAACAGAAGTACAGAAGGAACTTGATAGGAGAATAAAGGAATTTAGAGACAAATGACTAGAATGAAGTAGGAAGAGGCTCACTAAGATCCTACTAATTGGAGAAGCTCTAAAGACATGATGCTACAACATTAAAAGAAATTGATTTAGAACAATCTAAAACCTCGAGAAAATGAAGCATTTATAAAAAAAAAAGTGAACTCCCTAAAAGAATATCTCTGTGCACTGCACACCACTTCCCTCCTCTCTTAATGGGCAGTTTTAAATAGGCCCTAGTGAAAACGGTTAGTGAATATTTCCATACAATTATTATGGAGAACTTTTTATGTAAATTAACTTTATATTTCTTTGATAAAAAGCAAAAGGCAAATATAAATCAATAAAGCAATAATTTAAATAAATATGACTGTAATATAAATATTTTATATTTAAAAAAGTTAAATATGTCTTCAAAATTGTATGTTCCATTTTGCTGCACACACATGTACATATAATATTATGTTATAAATTATACAGTACATATAATAATAATTGTAAAGTTTTTTTTTCATATGTGAGAATAAAAATCATTTATTTAGACAGTTAAAAAAATAACATTAAAGTTTATAACATCCAAAAAAGAGTTCAATACACATTTGACATATAATCAATCGATTTTTTAAAATATTCTATTTTAAATAGGCAAACAAAACAATTTATTAACAGATACTTAAAGAAAACAAACATACATTCATTCTTACAGCCATATAAACTTGGGTATCTAACATTTAACAAATAGTTTTTCACTGAGACATTCTATCACATAATGGACTTATAACGTCCTATCACATATTTAAAAAGTTACATTGTAAGTGCAATAGTCTAATTTAAACAACACTGAAAAAAGTTTGATTTTACAGGTACCGCACATAACTATTTCCAAAACTTATTTAAAAAAAAAAAAGAGATCTGAATAATTAGATTCTACTTCCCTTTGAATTAGCTTCAACATATCGAACTGAAACTTTTAATATGATTTCCACTGGAAACTTGCTTTTCTTCAGTACTTTCTCTTTTTGCATTATCAGCAAATACAGGATAAGCTAAAGTAGTATTAAGTGAATCATTATGTTCTTCGAGAGAATTCTGATAATAATGTAGCACAAGTGCTTTTAAAGATTCGTAAATATTGTATGGCTCAGCAAAACCATAACCTCGCTCAGTTTCATAAATAATACAATGATTCACAGTACCATTACATCTGGAAAAAATAAAGCATAAAAAGTCATACAAAACCATTTAGAATTAATTTGCTACAAAATAACTTATTAATACACATAAATTTAATGAAAAATTATGCACTAGCAAAATAAACCGACAATTGTTTGATATAATAATATTAATACAATATATTATATTGTTTATTATAATATTTAAAACAATAATTTTACTTCCTTCCTTTAATAGAAGAGAGAATTAAAATCATATTGTATGGCTGCTCAACTATGTTGAGTTACTAAATCACTCAGAATACTTTATCAGTCTGAGAGATATTATATAAAACCAAAACAAAAGAATTAGTAGGGATCAGTTGACCATAGCAAATATGTTAAAATATCAATATGATTGCAGTTTGTAAAGAGTATATTGGGAAGCCATAAATCTGACAGAGAAATTATGTACAAAACAAGAAAGTGATTTGACCATTATGACCATAGTTTGAATGGTTAATAATTAGTTGCTAACACAAAATCAATGAAGGTTTTAGGTATGTTTTAGCTTATTTATTTATAGATTAAGAAGTTTTAAAAAGAAACATTATTATTTTACAGGACATTGACAATATAAATACAATCTTTTCAAAGGTTTCAGGATTGTATTTATGATAAACAAATAAATATATAAAACAATTTTTTAGCAGTCAGCGACAAAATTGAAATCCAAGAAATTTATCAGTCTACTATAAGATATAAGCATGATTCATTTTTATTATACCAAAATCTCTGAAAGAGAAAAGTTTAGCATAATAAAACTGACCATCAACAACAGATTGTAATCACTTTGATCACAAAAATTAATTTAATAAAAAAAAAAACAGTTTAAACAGAAGTAATCAATCAGTCATCAAGTAAATAATTATATGAAAAATAAAAATAAAGCCCTTACGTAATTGATAAAGCATACTGGCCAGTCCTACTAGGTCTTACTAAAAAGGTTCCATCTTTAGTAGCAGTGAGAAGTTGTTCAGCTTTGCTTCTAGAACATTCTTTAAGTAACCAAGAAGATTCATCATTATGAGGGCATTCTGTTTCTTGTTCACAAATACCGGAGCCACCATTTAACAACTGTTTAATACTTTGCATTTTTATACCACGAGAAAGGAGCCATCTATGTAACATATATAATAATATTTGTTAAAAATTAAATATTTTTATTTTTAAGTAAGAAAAAGAGGTATATGAACAAAAACATAATTATTTTGTTTTACTACATCTTTGAATGGTTTATCATGAGCATTTGTCTAAATTATAAATAATATTTATACTATTTTTCAACTTCACATAAAGTCTACCCTTGCCCTAACAGATTCTACAGTTAAGATACAATATACCTTTTTCTTTTCCTTTTACCCCTAATCTAGCTGTTTCGGGCATAAATGCCATACAAGGTTGATATTCATTTCATAGGTTTTCCATGAAACAAATTTGAACTAGCTGAAGCTAGATTCAAACTGGAGCCACTAGACTCACGTTTGCTTCGGTGATAACCCCTTTACACTCTCTAAATAGACAATGTATGATTTCACTTATATTAAATTAAATTGTATTTAACTTAGTAAACATAGGATGAAATCATGGTAAAACATTAAGCACTTAATACATCTTTATACAATGGGTATGATTGTAGTTTTTAAACAAACAACTTTTATGTGGAGCTGCAAAAAAGCTTATTTAAAAATATTTATACACATATACATATTGTCTCAAATATAAATATGTATGTGTATGAGCATTTGTAAATTCTTAATAGACTATGAATCAGGTAGTGGTGTATAAAATATAAAAAGAATATAAAAAAGTGACTAATAACTTTGAAGTTATTACACATTGAATTAGTAACAAATAAATGAAATTTTTTACACTTACGCTTTATGTTTCTCAATTTGCTTAAATAGTTCAATAACTTCAGGTTTCAATCTATGCATCTCTCTTTCAATAGTTCTATTATATGCTACTTGTTGCTTCAAATTTTCCTCTAATTGTAATTTACTTTCTTTCAAGGAATGAAGTCTTTGATTCAAAATCTCAGAATTTTCATTAAAACTATGAAAACAAAAAATGTTAAAATGCAAAACTTAATAAATAATTAATATTAATTCAAGACACAATAAAAACAGTGAATAATGCATAATTACAAAAAAATGTAACAATTGTAAGTTATCTAATTTTACAGATTAAATTACTTTATTTATGAAGGTACAATCAAGTCACCCCATGAACAACTTAAAATATACTATTATTATATGTAAAAAATGTATAATATGAGGATGAATCCATTATAAACAGGATTTTTATTCTTGAGCATCCAGAGTTGATGGGACCTGCCAAGGTAAACAGCTGGATCACTATCTCCAAAACTTTTTTTGGTCTAAAGCCTTAGCTGAGAAACAACTTCATTGCTAGAATTACAAAGCTGATCCTATGCAAACTATTAATATGTCTTGTTCTTACATATAAGTCTGAAGCTTGGACGATGCCCAAGGCTGGTATGAATTCTTAGCAAGTATTCGAAATGCGCACTGTTTCTATAAAGGGGTCCAAGTCAGGACTGAATTGCAAAGGTCACTTCCGATTTCTGGGCCTCTTCACTCTCGCATCTCTCACTCTGGGGAGTAATTTTCTTCCCACTATTTTAGTCAATAATGGACTTTTCATGTCTAGATGGCTTCTCATTGGTATATTTATGTATTCCTTTGTGAGGAAACTTTGTGTTGAGTAGAACAAGATCATTTGTGAAGCAGAATTGTAACAGTCTCTTTCTATTGTTGTTCCTAATCTCTTCTCCACATAGACCGAGCACTCTTTTGAAACCAATTTGACATCTACTCACTCTTTCATTCAAGTTTCCCAGCAGTATTAGATTTCCATCTTCATCATCCATTGCTTTCTGCAGTGTTTCGAAGAATATATCTATCACCTCTGTTAGTTCATCCTTATTAGGTCCGTATCAATGAATGAATGAAAACACAAGTTTATTCGGGGACTAAAGACCCCTAAGAATAATAATAACATGGTACAAAACATTGGTCCATTAGTCTGGTTTGACAAAATACAAAGAGGCCATTTCAATGATAATTTCAATTGCTATCGCAATCATATCTGAACAACAATAGTAAACACTTTAACATGATTACATTTTATATGGTTCACATGTATACAAAGAAAAAGTAAATAAATAAAATCAAATGGAACTTGTCGATTCATTGTTAGTGAGCAGTTGTAATTACAGAATCCAATAAGTATTACATATGTACGGAAGTTTGAAAATGAAATAGATGGTGGAATAAGAGTTGTTTGAAGGAATTTAAGGAAGAGGATTGCTGTATGGTGATTGGTGAAAAATTCCAGGAGGTAGCACGAATGACTAAGGATTTGCTAAAGGATGTATTTTTATGAGAAGGGATATATAAATCCATAGGTTGATATCTGGTATTAAGAGAGTGGATAGAGGAATGTAGAATGAAGAGTTTCATGATATAGGGAGAATTTTAGGTTCTTAGGACTTCAACTCGGTATACCAGTGGGAAACATGAGAACGCCTGGGAATTTCAAAGATGAATCTTATAAAACAGTTCATATGTCTCTTCAATTTCACCTCCAGTCTTTCAGGCGACCCTCCATAAACCAAGCAACCATAGTTGAAGTGAGGGAAAATGAGAGAGGTTACAAGGAAGTGTCTGGTTTGTTGAGGGATAGAATCATGGAATCTTAGGAATAGTTTAAGGATGGTTATAGATTTTCGGGTAATCTGGGAAATATGGTTATTCCAGGAAAAGTTCTGATCAAAGATAACTCCTAGAATTTTGACTGTTGGGAAAAAATAGATGGGGCAGATATTGACGTAGAGTAGAGGAGAGTAAGTAAGAGAACAAATAAGATGTCTGTAAACAATAAGAATAACCTTAGTTTTATTTGCATTCAGCTTTAACTTATTTATTTCTGCCTATCTGTTGATGCAGTCATTATCCTCTTATAGCTTTTGGGTAGCCTCAGATATCTGAAAAGGGTAGGAAGATTGGAGAAGCTACATGGAAGAGAAGAATAAGGAAAGCTATGAAAGGTATAAGGTGGAGAGGAAGAAAGAAAAGTAAATGCTTCTAAAGGAAATCAGAAACTGTTCTACGAAGTTTTGAAAAGCATGAGGGATGAGAAGGAATGCCCTATAAAGTTTATAAAGGCTAAAGATGGGCAAATAATAAGTGAGCCGAAACGAATACTGGAAAGATGGAGGGGATACTTTAGAGAGTTACTGGATGGGAATGATAGGAGAAATGGAAGATTGCCAGGAGATAAATGAGGATAGCCTAAAACTGCAACAAGGAGAAGATAACCAGATAGAAAAAGAGGAAATGTGGGACACACTGGACAGGATGAAGCTGGGAAAGGCAGCTGGTCATGATAGAATAGCACCCGAGATGCTTAAATATATGGGGGAGGCAGGAGATGAATTACTCTTCAGGGTATTAGAATTGGCCTGGAAAGGTAAGAAGATTCCAAAAGACTGTAAATCTCAATCATTGTCCCAGTCTTCAAGAAAGGTGTAACTCGACAATGTGCCAATCATGGAGGTATTTCATTGCTGAGTGTCCCAGGTAAAATATACTCACGTATCTTAGAAAGAAGATTGAGGAACAAGATAGAACACCAACTGGACAAGGAGCAGAATGGCTTACAACCAGGCTATAGAGTTTGGAAAGGAGGATCTTATGGTTGACGGAATCGAAGGCTTTTGAAAAGTCGAAAAGGATTAGGATAGAAATTTTTAATTTATCTATGTAGGAATGTAGATCTTGGGTAATCTTTAGCAAGGCATATTGGGTAGAATAATGGGAACAGAAACCGGATTGTAATGGATTGAGAAGACAGTTTTGCTCAAGAAAGTTGTTAAACTAAGAGTGAATTATTCTTTCCAGAGGCTTGCAAAGATGGAATATCAATATCAAAGCGTATGCCGCTATTAATGTCCAATTTTCCTTGGTCTCCTGATCTCTTAGCTTCAAAATCAATATTCTTTCATTAATCCTCCTCCAGCCCACAATATTCCTTGTGAAGGCCCTAAGAATAAGAAATGCTACTCCTGCTTTAGCTCTCTCGTTGGTTGCAACTCCAGAGTAAATTAGCATAAACTCATTACCAACATCGATGCAGCCTGTTCCCTTATTTGTTTTGGTGATCACCATTATCTTTGATGAACTCCTCTCCATTTCTTCCACCAGCTCCATCTCCTTCCCAGCTAGAGCCCTTATGTTCCATGTTGCCTATTTTGTTGCTCCATGTCCTCGCCAAGTCATAGCCATGAAAGACAATCCGGCTTACTTCCTTCCATTTCTTTTAATCCTTTTCATGTCCGAGGGCTCTTATACAGAGAATTAAATCATTCTATAAAGACCTGCAGAAACTATGTTAGGACGTCCCATCAAACATCTGCCAAATTTGTCACTATAATGGGAGTCAGGTAGGGAGCCCGCTATATTTCATCACCCTCAGTGTTCAGGTTATAAATAAACATTGGCAGATAGCAGTCGATCCCGACCACATACTAGTAAAGTACCGAATATTCTTAAAGATAAAGTAATTGGATGGCCGCAAACCAGGGAAGCAGACCTCGACAGAGACAGATGGAAATCTTTGTACAAAATTCTCTACACCATAAGGTAGAAGAGATTATTGAATAAGAATGTGAACAAGTTTTTACATATTTAAATTATGATTATAAATAAATCTGTTGAAGAGTTTCTGGTTTTATTTGTTTACTGTAACCATTTAAATGTTTTTTAAATTTTTCTACAGAGTGTATTAATGTCACTGTGAGTCACTGTACTTACTCTATACTTGGAATTAGTCAAAGCAAATAGTCAAATATGTAATTCGAGAATGTGAAATTGTTTTGCAATTTTGCATTTGTGCAGCATAATCAAAACTCAGGAGTGTTAAATCCATGAATTTTAAGGGACTAATGTAATAATAGCAAATATAATTCAATTATTTCATAGTGACATAAGACTTAAAAAAAACAAAAAAACAGCTAAAACATAAATACTAAAAACAAAAAATTACATGCCAACCTTTTAATTTCATGTGGCTGCGCTTCAATTTTGTACTTTTCCTGAATTTTAATTTGTTCTTCAAACATAGCAACAGTTTCTTTAAAAGCGTCAAGTGCCTGCCTCTTTAGTTGAATTTCCTTAGATGTGGTAGTAAAATCTTCAAAATAATCATCATAAGTTTTAGTCTTGCTATAGTATTCTTCATTTAATTCTACTAGTTTAGCTCCAACTTTGTCTAAATCATTATTGTTTGAAATCTCTTCCTCCTATAATATAATAATAATATGAAGATACCAAATAATGAAATTAATCCATGTAAAAAAAAAAGTACAATAGAAACAACATGATATTGTCATATGAGGAGAACTTATTCCTAAAATAACGATAAAATTTTAAATTAAAATTTAAAAAATTAATCAGAAAAAAAAACAGACAAAATAAACATTTTTAATAGACACATAAAAATATTAATAAATAATATATAAAAGTAAAAAGAATAAATTCCATAACTTGAGGAGTAATCCACATGTTCTTCTTAATAGGGACAACATTGGATATTCAAATAACACCAATGTAAATAAATTTCCAATCATAATAAAAGTTATGTTGAAAATTACACCATTTCCCTATTAAAACAGAAATAAATAAGAAAATGGTGTAAAAAAAAGTACCTCAGTGAATAGGGCACTGGACTACTATGCTCTAGGTCCCAGGTTTAAACCTGGTTATGATTGGTTATTATTTATTCTGTTTCATCAGCCGTGGATCGACATGGAAAGAACCTTCTGGGATACACCCAGCCTCTATAAAGTGGGTACTCTTAATTAAACAATTAATTAATAGAAAAAAAACAGGCGGTTGAGCATGATCTCATTCTAATCACCTCCCAACACATTTATTGGCCTTGAAACAGTACTTTCTAACAATGTAATGAACCCATATCCCTTCATGAGTTATATATTACAGGTGTATATACATATATGTATATGACATTATGTATAAATATATCGTATTAAAAAATATATATATAATATGAAGTTTTTTTTCTGTTAGCATTACAGACCATGTAGATCTTTTGCCCCCTTAACAAGCTTGCTCCATCTCTGCCTGGCTTGGGCTATTTCTTTCCATTTATCTGCACGCAACTCTGTTACATCCTTGTTGATTCTATATATCCATCTGATTTTTGGCCTTCCACATGGTCTTCTGCCTTCAATTGAGGAATTCATTGTTACGTAGAGGCTTCCAGATGGATTGCTACGAGCTACATGCCCTGCCCATCTTAACCACTATGCCTTCATATCATGGGATATTGATTGACCAGTTTCTGTAAGCAGTTCTTTATTGGTCTTTCTCCTCCATGTATCAGTACTCTGATCCCAGATCGCTCCGATTATAGTGCGGAAGGATTTTCCTCTCAAATCTTTCAAAACGTTTTTCTAGGGTGCTGGTTAATGTCCAGGTCTCATAGCCATATATTAGAACTGACTTTATCATAGCATTGTACACCCTTAGATTAAGATTTCTTGAGATTTTTCGGGATTTTGGACTTTGAGAAAGAGAAGAAAGCTCTGTTTGCGCTATTTATACCTTGGTCTATTTCTGCCCGTTGGTCATTCATTGAGGTTATTGTGGAGCTTAGGCATTTGAATTTTTCTACTCTCAGGAATGATTTTCCTTCTGATCCTGTTATTGGGGTGGAATTTTCAGCTTATTATCATATATTTTGTTTTTACTTCATCTACTTGTAGGCTGATCTGCTCTGCCTCTGTTATCAGTGTTGTAGTAAGTTTCTCTTGTTGTCTTTTTGATTACTTCCAAGTACAGCTATATCATCTGCGTATCCAAGGATTTTATGATTCATTACCACGTGGACATCTCTATTTTCCAGTGATGTTGTTAAACAACTATGAAAATTGTAACTAATTGTTTTTATAGAAAGAAATTATATGGTATTTCATCAAAGAATATTATATTATTCCTTCTATCAGTCCAATAACAAGTACTTACTCTAGGGAATTACTTAAAAACTCTAATTCAGCTTCACAACATACTACAAAATCTTTGCTGATTGATTCTTCAACATTAGTTTCAGCTGACTTGGCAGTAAGTAAAGAAGTGGATATCTATTCAGTAATATTACATACAAATGGTATCTTCTTCCCTGGTTCCACATCTAGAATGCACTCTATCTTACTGCCCCTCATCCATTTTCCACTTCACAGCCTCTTCACTTTCACATTTCTCTTAACTTAGCTTTATTTATATTTGGTGTTGGGCTATTTACTACATTATGACTAGATAAGTGCAAGTTTACTTAATAGGTTACAAATGCACACACACACACACACACACGCGCACACACACGCGCACACACACACACACACAACAAAATAAAAAATTCATGCCTTTAGAAAAAAAGTACCTGCTGAAATCTTGAGACTGGATACAGAAGTTTTATATCTAATGTTCTATTGTATTGAGAAAGTGAAACACCTTTGTAAAAATTCACTAATTCTACTACTGTATTGAATTTGTAAGGTTCTGTAAAACCATATTTTCCAGTGCGGTGAGAGATTTTTATAAGTTTGTTGCTGCCACCTTTTCTTAAAGTCAACGTATATTCACCAGCTTTACTGGAGGCATTACGAACAAGAAAAGTTCCGTCAGGTGCATCCATAAGTTTTTCATTAACTTCATTCCTAAAATTTAAAAATAAAATAAAATAATATATCTTTCCCAAAAATGTCAGTTTATGTTAATATGGTGGTAGTACTGCAGTTAGGAAACTATTTTAACAATCTATCTGTTTCTAACTTTTTTTATTGTACCTAAACTTATGATATTTACAAAATTTAGAAAGTGTGAATCATTTCATCTACCTGATGACATAAATATATGCTGTTTCATTAGTTCTTTACCACCAATCATTTTTAGTAATTGAGACAGGTATAATCATAATTTTAGTATTTTAAATTCGAACATGCATTTATACAACATAATCAAAACAAATTATATACACATATAGAAGGAGAAAAATAAATTTTATTCTGAGACTAAGTCCCCTTAGAATAACTACAAAGTACAATTGTCTTGACATTAGAAATAAATTAAATTACATGGTAATCATGATCTAAAATTACAATAAAGAAAAGGCATTGGTAGACATATGAAATTGTAGATAAATTCAGATATGCGAGTTCACACATTTTTACACATAAACAATGTGGGTGATATATAATTATCTGTAGGATAACATCAAATGCGACTGACAGGTCTGAAAAACATTATTTTACACATATTAGGAAGATTGCTGAGGAGATGGATAAGTAAATTATGTTTAAATGAGGTCAAGGATGAGGATTTTCGTATAAAGGTTGGTAGGTAATATCAAAACAAGATAGCTTGTATGACAAAGGATTTAAAACAAACAAAACATTTCTATGAGAAGAAATAAACAGGTATGAGGGCTGGGATCTCTTGTTAACGAATGCACAGAGGAACAAGTAATAAACAAATGGAGAAGGTAAGAAGGTTTTTTGGTTGAAAAGGTTTGAAAAATGAATACACCTAGGAAGTATTACTGTCGGAAGATTGGATAGAGCTATTTCCTCTCGGTATACCAACTGGAGACGTGGGAGTGCCTGGGGACTCCAAAAATAAAAAAAATAAATCTAATGAAACAATTCATTAGTCTCTTAATCTGATCTCAAGCCCACTAGACAGTCCACCATGTACAACGCAGCCATAATCGAAATGAGGAAAAATGAGTGAGGAAACTAGGATTTGACAGATTTTAAGGGCATGGAATCACGGAATCTTAGAAACTGTTTGAGGGTAGCAATGGATTTTCGGATTATTTGGAAAATACGATTATTCCAGTATATATATAATATTTTTTTTCAATTAAGACAATTTTAATTGTGAAGATTTCTAAATAAAAATAATAGAAAAATGAACAAAAATGTATTGCATCAAGGGTTAGGAGAAAAAATAAAACAAAAAAAGTGACGACAAATATTTATAGTTTAAAAAAAAAAACCTATAGTTGAGTTCTGCTAAGCCTGAACCCGATTATCAGGACATCCCATGAGTAATTCCTCAAAAATAAATTCCTTTAATAATAAAATATTGCTTCACTGGCATTTCTATTGAAAGAGACCTTACTTTTTCATAAAGGCAAGTCAAAAGAAAACTATTGCATTTAAGAAAATGCTTCAGGGAAATAAATTCGAAAATATCGATATCAGTATAAAACAATTCCTAGTGAGTGAAAAATCATAAGTTTCTTTGGAAAGAAGGAAAATGTCGTAATGTTTGGTAATGAAAATGGTATCAGAAAATTAAAAGAAACATGAACACAACTTATTAGAAGCAACGAAGAAATGTTATGTGGAAACGGATTTAGAAGAAAAAAGAGATCCTGATAGAGGTGCTGCTTCAAAAAATACTTCAAACCAAGACGACAATAAATGAAATAAATCCATCTGGCAGGTCAAAACAAATAAGGTTAATCATTTAAATACTATAAAATTAAAAAGACTTTCATTCAATATTGGTGGCTAGACTAATAAACTTATTTTTGATTTTTTTTTAATTTATAACAATATTATGTTATATTATATTATAAATTTATTAAGATAGCAATATTATAAAAGATATTATAGCGCTTAATAGACCAGCATAACATTTTTAGTTAAGTCTAATACTTTATAGTATGAAAAATACTTTAGTGATTTTAATTTAATATGGATTGAAGCAAATAAAACTTATACAGAATGCAGGGCAAGTGATTTAAATGAAAGGCATAGTGCTGAAATAAAATTTCATATTATTCCAGTTTATTTAAATTATTGTGCTTGATATGAGGACTTTTTAAGGTTATTAAATTTTCTTACTATACTTAACAAAAAATTCTTATAGGTGACATGAACGTGAGGTTGGCTGAGAGGTAGGTAATTCATTAATATATAACCTGGGAAAAATGTTTAGTGAATTGTAACAGAAAATCTAAAGATACACTTTAGAATAGTAGGTATATCCTTCTTGGAAATGTGAGATGATTTTGAATTAATAATATTAAATGACTGTACATTGGTGATTCGAATGGCGAATTCACATTCATTTTGGAGAGGGGTCGCTCCGTTATTGATATTTGCAGCACATCAGCGCTAATTTTGAAATATATAAAAGAATTTAAAGTTCTTCCTAAAATGTTTAAGCAGCATATGCCTATTGAAGTTGCCATGGACTTCGGACAAGTAAGTTTGGGCAAGTCCCAATGTCCTAAAATTAAGTACATTGAGATGGTCATGGCAGGAAAAATTGTATTTTAAATCAAAACTAGAAAATAAATTAAACTTTATAAAATTGGATGAAGTCAAAGATTCGGATTTAAAATTAAACGTATTGTTAAAAGGTATTCTGGAATGTTCCTTACACAGAAAACATGTAAATAGCAGAAAAAATATAGGAAAACAACAGTGGCTTGACAGCGAATGAATGAAATTCCGGAATAGGTCTTTTAAATTTTTAAGTATATACAGAAAACATAATAATGCTTATTCGAATGCACTTAAGAGCAAATATCGAATATAAAAAAATGGAACGTGTACATTAAGAACCTTAAAGAAAAATGTATATGCATTAAGGATATAAAAATACTTTGGGCATTAATAAACATATTTAAAACTAAAAATCTGGTGCGGTGCGCTCAACACTTTCACTAATTTCAGTAAATAAGTCTTTTCACCATTAGATGTTTTAGGTTCAAAACATCTAAGTCATTAGCGCCCGTGATAAAGTAATACTACTATTAAAATATTCAGCTGGTAACAATTGAAAATAAAAATCATACATGGTACAACATATTATTTGAAACAATTAATTACTATATGTTTTTCTCGTCTAATATACTAAATTTATGAATTTTTCATCACTAACACTAACCATTTCTTTTTAATTATTCATTTAATTATAATAAATAATTATGTGCCATGAATTCGTTTTAGTTCGACAAGAGTGCCAGTAAAGAGGTCATTTATTCATTTGTTTCATTGTGAGTATTTAAACACTGTTATATATACAGATTTTAATTTTTATATTGCTGTAATCTATACATTCAAATATTAAATAATACCAGCACTAGCATTTATGAAAACTGTACATGCATAAGTAAATAATATAATCGGCTGTTCTCTACTTCTCATTATCACCCTATTTATTACCCCGAACGAGTGCGAGTTTCAATTTTTGATTCCTTGATACCATCTCTCATTTCTCCTTTACTTCATGATCAATTTTTTTCACTATTTATATTTAACCAATTTCAGTTGCAAATGACTTTTCATTTTTGAGCTAGACGGTTCACATACATAAACACCCACCATTTTGTAGAACTTGGTTATTGGGAATCAAGGGACTTCAAAGCATGTATTTCTGTTGAATATTCAGATTCGAGAATTTTCACGATCGCAATACTTTCCTTACTATGTATAAGCTCAGAAATCTACAAAAAAAACATGGATGTGCCTAATTTGCGATCAAGGGAAAAAACAAAATTTAAGCAATTAACTGCCCATAATTATTCATGGCGCATAACTATTTATTATAATTAAATGAATAATTAAAGTAAACAGCCATAAAAGGTACTTTCCTCTATCAAATCATCAACAATCATCATCTTTCTTACGCCTACAACCTTCTCCAATATAAGTCCTCAGTTCACTCCCTTTTCACAAGATGTCAACCTTCTGACCTTTACATTCCTTCTCACAGATCTGCCTCATTCCAAAATTCGTTTATTGCTCGGTTTTTTTTTTTTTTTGTTTTTCCCTACCTCGCCTTTTAGGCTATACGGGATTTTCCCGGGCCGGGGGGTGAGGGCGGGGAATTTAAAATCCCCTCCGGCACCGGGACGCGAATTCGTACTTTTTATATCATTTCTTATTGCTCGCTCTGTTAATTTCTGGAATTCTCCCTCCCTATCAACATTTGAAACCCTCCTATTCCAATTTCTATCCCAAAAACCGTCAGACACCCCCCCCCCCCAACCTTAGATATATTTACATATAATTCATCACTCAAATACTTACTATCAGATTCGTCTTCTTTTTCTTCTGCAGAAACGCAGAGTTTATTGCTAAGAACAATGTAATGTATTCTCTATTTTTTTTTTTTAAAGTGTATACTTAAGTATTACCACTGTACATAGTTTTAAGTGTCTTGGCATGGTTTCAAGTGTTTTGTATATAGATTTTTTTTACTTTGTACATAGTATAGATTTATATATTTAAGATAGATTTATATATTTATGTATATAGATTTTTTTTATTTTGTACATAGTATGTTTAACTAATATTTTCTTTACTTTTTTTTTCTTCATTTTACCTTTTATGTTTGTTTTTACTTAGGCCAGATGTAATACTTTAATTTTTTACTTTTTTGTTATTCTGAAGGGACTTCGTCCCAGAATAAAATTATTTTCTGTTCTATTATATTCTATTAAAAAAAAAAAAACCTGTACTGCTACAACCCATGGAGGGTCTTGGGTTCAGTACTAATTAGGGAAAGCACTGTTTCTTGGTCTAAGGTTGTGTAAGGAGGTGATTTGACCGAGATCAAGCTCAACTGCCAGGTTTTTCCCCTTAACAAATTATTTTAATTAAGGGTACCCACTTTATAGAGGCTGGGTGTGCCCCAGGAGGGTCTATCTACCCAGGGTCACCCCACGGCCAATGAAACTAAACAAATAATTTTTCTGTTATGAGCCGGGATTTGAACCTGGGACCTTTAGCATTGGAAGCTCAGTACCTACCACTGAGCTACCCCACTCTCTTTACTATGTATAGGTAAGTGAAAATAAAAAAGGGAGGTGACTCCACTTTCTACTTTTTTTGGTTTTCCTTTTGATCAACCATTAGATCAATTTAATCTTTAATTCTAGAAGGAAATCCTTCTTATATTGCAGATGAGCTAACTGGTCGTGGTTAGAAAAACATTCTCCATTACGCTAAAGCGTTTATCTTTATTACACTTTAACGGGAGTGTCTGCAAAAAACTTAATTTGAGCAGCAGATAAGTTTCCCTGTAAGAGAAGAGAGTTCCTTTTCCCTCTGAAGCTCCACCTCCCTTCATTACCCTAGCAATCACCTCATACCGGGAACGTGTTTTTTTTATAAATTCCAAGTTCGTGAAAGAAATGAAAAAAAAAAAAAAATGGTTACAGAAATTATAACTTGTAAAAAAAATTGTAGAACTACATATGAATGAATGAAGAAAAAAGAGTGAGGGATCTGTGGGAAATCGTTTTGCCACAGAACACCTCTCCCCCCCCCCCTCTATCCACCAGCAAACTCATCTTAGATGGACTATACCTAGTGGTCCAGCCCTCTCGTCCCTTCACCCCCCTTGTATCCAAGCAACTTGTGTCATCCACCAACTATTAAAACTTTCCTGCATTTGACTATCTCTACTTACTTAAAATTCATGAAATATACTTTAATTTGCACACCAGTCCTATGATAAATAACGATAATCTTTTTGTAAACCAACTTTTTTATCAATTTTGTGATCAACCTTCCAAGATTCCAATGGAAAACAAATTGATGTTCATGAGCTGTTAGTACCTCATTAAATTGACATGTTTACAGATCTCCAGATTGAAAACGTCCCAATTCTGAGAATTTTTGTAGATAAAAAAGTTGAAGGTTACAATAAAATGAAGCCAGTTAAGACGTTTTAGATAGATGTTAATAATTTGATAAAAAAAAAAGGGTCTGAATCGTGGACTAGAGGGTACTGACAAGTGATGGAAAGCTAATGACTTTTAATTGTTGTAGTTAATAATGTCTAATTAATACTGCTTAAAGGAAAATAAACTTAAGATAGAAACTAAATAGAAATTTCATATATATAGATGGATAACAATTTTATCTTTTTTTTTCAGATTGATAAACCAATTTCGTGTGCAGCATACTTTAAATTAATTGTCTTAAGTTTGTGTTTGTAAATAAAAGTACTATTCTGAAGGTTTATAACTTTTTGATGTGACTAAGTATCTTCAAAGATAGAGAGAAACACTTCATTTTCATATAAAATATTCTAATAATACTATTAAGACACTATTAACATTAAAGTTAGAAGAAAATAATAATAATGAAACTAAGTACCTGGTAATATCACCCCAATACCACTCAGCATCTTGCAAGGAAAGAGAATTTTCAGAAGAACTGTGTGAAGAAATGGATACCTGTTCAATCGGATGGGGTGTTGCACTCGTCCTTGCATTAGAAAATTTTCGTGGGGGAAGAGATGGAACAACACAGAAATCAGGAAGAGACTCTCCCCATTCTCCATGAATGAGGAGCAATTCCATAATTCGCATGTGAGATTCTGTATTATACACCACTTGTCTGAAAAAAAAAAAAAACTCAATTGCTCATTTTTATATACCAGTAAATTTTTATTAAAAATGAAAAAAAGCATAGTAAAACAACAGTATAACTCGCTCATAAGAAACCAGGTATATATGAGTCAGCATAAAGAAGAAAGATTGCTCACCCTAGTATAATCACCTGGCTATAAAAAAACAAAACATTTTGGATACAAGAAACTCCTGGATTTTCAGTTTTTATCAACAATAAAAACTGAAAGGTAAACCAGGAATTCAGTGTAAAGTGAAATAATATGCCATAACTACATTTTTACTCCTTCTCATCCCTCAATCCATTCTGAATATTTAAAGAACAACTACCTAATTTGGAATGATGATGAATGAATACAAGACAAAGTATATGCTTTGCAATACCAACAGAAGAGAGTATTTAGGAGTAAAAGTAAAAATTGAAGACTTAAAATTTTGATTATATGTAGGAATTTGAACTCGACCAACAATATGCAACCAGAAATTCAGAGCTGGATTATGGCAACCAATAGAAACTATTATATGCTTCAGTAGCATCTAAAAAGCAAGTTTCTATCCATGATAATTAAAATACAAATATATAAGACCTTAATCAGGATTCTTCTCACAAAAGTGCTAGACTAGTGGTTGACTCTTACAAAAGCCTTACAATTACCTCTATTGAGATGATTATGGATCCTGTGTGTAACAGTGTTTAGAGGAAACATGGTGAGCTTATAGATATCAATAAGGACAATGATGTCATAGATATTATAATGACTGCACGTCTGAGATGGGCTTGACTGAATAATAATGAAATCTCCAAAATGCACTAGAAGGAAAGAATTTTCGGGTGCAGGAGTTGGAATACCTCACCTGCTTTGGGTGGATTATCTGGCAGATGATGCAGAAAGTGCAGGGGATTAAACATTGGAGAGCAGTTGCACAAAAATACAGAAGATTAGCAGTTTCAACTGCTGGAGGCATTGACTCTTTATGAATTGTAGCCCCATCAATCAAAATAAAAGATAAAGGAGAAGAAATTAAATTTAATATTTTGGATGCCATTCTAGATTTCTATAATACATAGATATGAGTGTGAAGGAATGCTAAAAAATTTGTTCAGATATGCAGGGCATCCATTGAATACTTACATTGGTTTAAAAGATTGTTGTCGAGAAAGGGAAGAAAAAATCCTGAGGTATTACATTATAGAGCACTACTATGGTTATTAGGAAACTCAGATAATAGAAACAAATCCACACCATCCATTGGTGTGTATTATAAGCGAGTTATACTGTATCATAAATAATACAATACTACCAAGAAAAGGACTAATTAGGCATCAAGTGCTGATCAAATAATATTGAGGTAAGTTAATAAATTGCATACATTATTCTTTCCCATGGTGGGCGAAGAAAGATATGACACAAAACTTGAACAAGTGATATGGGAGGTTCTCGAAAGCCACGGGCATACTGCATTTTACAAATCCGACATAAATGTGCCATTAAAAAAGTTAATGTTGATCTGTGATGTATAGGAAGTTCTTGAACCAGATGACACAAAAATGCTCCGCATTGTTCATCATTCCTTATACCTATAGAAAATACAGACAATTATAGAACATATTAACAACTAAATAAATAATTAAAATATAATTTTTCTATTTAAAAATTAGATAACTAAATCAAAATCTAGATAGCTCAAAAATAAAAACAGAGAGTAACCTAAAAATAAAATAATAGTAATAGAATTATAGGAGTATAACAGACTTGTATAAAGATATAAAAATCATATGGATGTTTGTGACCCCTAAAACTGGAATCATGGAAAGAAATAATAATAACGACTGATCCATTAAATACTGTAATAATGTAATAATATAATGTAATCTTAATTAAGTTTAATACACTTTGCAAATATTTTGAACGAGGTAAATAATGATCTTTCGTCTTCGTCTGAGTACCAGAGTGCTGAAGGCTTAATAGAAGGAGGAGTAAGGAGGAAGTTGACATAGCCATTGGAAAATTATAATCTTATAAAGCAGCAGGAATCAATAATATTCTGAGTGAACTAATTAAGGCATGCGGGAAAGCTGGAGTTTCTAAAATGCACGAAGAATGGAAAGATCTACTTTTATTTCAATTCACCAAAAGAGCCTCAGGAAAGACTGTAATAACTATCATCAAAGGAATCACATTCCTTCAGTATGTTATAAAGTATTCACATTAATCATAACCATTCAAACCAAAGAATACACTGAGGAAATAATTGGAGACTATAAATGAGGTTTTAGACAGAACAGTTCAACTATTGATCAAACGTTTTGTTCATAAGCTTTACATCGATTTCAAAAAAAGGCTTATAATTCCATTGACCTTCAAAAGCTGTATAATATTATTTCTAATTAAGTAAGGTATTTCAAAAAAGTTAGTAAATCTAATGAACCAAACATTCAATAAAGTTAGAATTGGTAATCATTTCTCCAAGAGCTTTGAGGTTCGTTTGAGTTTAACACAATGTGATTCCCTTATCACCTGTTCTATTTAATTTACCACCTCAACTGCCATAAGGGAGGTGATATGTAATGACAAAGGTTTTAACATGGGTGGAAAAATATTTCTTCTCGGGGATACTGATGATCTAGTACTGTTAAATGCAGACACAGAAACTATATAACACTGATATATAATACAACAAAACATTGATGAAAGCCGGTAAAGAACTGGGGCTTGAAATAAATACGGATAAAACAAAATACATGGTCACCTGCAAAAACAGTGACAATTTCAATGATACAGATATAGAAGGGAATATGTTTGAGCACAGACAAATTCAGGTATTCAGAGTCAATGGTAATTAGAAAAAATTAAATTAAGGGTAGAAATGGTTGTTATTATTCAGTTACAAAAGTACTCAGATTGCATCTTCCATCGCAAAATCTACAAATTGGAATTGACAACTATTTATAATAATAAAACACATTTAATCCTTAATTCTACTTAATTTTTTCTTTACACCCAACATTTTAGCTCTTTAGACCACTTTCAAGAGAAGAAACCTTAGGTTATAAAATAAAATTATTAAAATCATTTGGGCTAATTTATCCTTGCCACATTCTATTATCTAATGCAGAACATCTCATCCAAAATAATTATTATTGAAATTTCTTTGAAAAAAATAAAAAATTAAAGCTAATACAAAAAAATTAAGACACATAATATAAGAAAATAAACAAGATTTCAATTCAAGTATATAATTAATGAAAACGATAAATTAAAAAAAAATTTAAAATAACATGAAAAAATTAAGAACTGATTACTTACGAGATGCCTCCAGAAACCTGTCATACCATTGGACTGGAATTATTGGATCAGGTAACTCAATTAAAAACTTTTTTAATAATGTAGCCAAAACATTGGGATCATAATTACTCCACTCAATTTTTGACAAATCTAAAATCATAAAACAACTAAAAACAAAATGAATAAGAATTATTAACATTTTTGAAAGAGAAGATTATATAATAATAACTATTAAAACAACAGATTTTATGAGAAATCTTGGGTGTATGCCAAGAATGGTGGATGAGTGCCTGATCGAGGTTGGGATTGAATACCTGGTGTGGAGCCATTCAATGATGACATGGAGTCCATTGCTTGGACTTAAAACCAATCGAACATGTCTAGGACCACCTTAAGAGAAGAATACAAAGTCGGAATCCGTGTCCTAGCACCCTTGAGGAACTGGAAGCAGCTGTTCTCGAAGAGTGAGACAACATTTTTCGGGACTTTATTGAAAATCTTTTTAAAATCAATAGAAAGAAGTTTAAAGGATGTAATCCACACCAGGGGTGAAAATACCCATTATTGACTCTACATAATGTATGTTTTCATTTTAATTAGTTTTTTTTTTAAGTTTATCATATTGAGAACACACTGTTTTCAAATGAATAATTTTATCATATAAAAATTTTGTTGGGTCCTTAAATTCAAATAAAGTGGATATTTTTGAAAAATGTAGATGGTGCATTAATTTTGTCCATCAGAGTATTTCACTTTTGGCAGAAATTAGTCTTTACATCTCACCAATAGGAAAAAAACAATTAACTTGAAAATACTAGAACACTTTCATTAATTTATTTTCACTTTTAAAGCAACAGAAAATGGTATTTTTTGATGCAAATGGACTAAAATGGGAAAAAAAAATCTTTAATGATTTAAAGAATCATTTTTCTGTTGACTATAATAAATAAAAATTAACACTAAATAATTCCTAACAAAGTTACTTGATAGTTTAAAAAAAATACAGATCGACAAATGAAAGTTTAAAAATTATTAGTATAAAAATCTGAAATCAAACCTTCATTAATAGCATCTCGTAATTCCGCTATTTTATCAGCATGAACAGAACATCTATACAGCTTGAAAAGATCAAGAGTATGAATATTTCTTGCATATCGTTCAATTTCTTGAGTGCATTTAATAACAACAACTGGTGCGGCATATTCGTTGGGTTGAAACTGGATACACAGAGCTAATCCAAAAACTGGAAAAAAGATAAATATATTTATTTTAATCTCATACAATTACAAGTAAGGAAATTTTTAAAACAATCAATGTTAGGGAGATCAGCTAATTTCATTAAAGAAATATTTTTTCCTGACTAAATAAAATAACCAAGGAAATACAAACTACATCAAACTGTTTATAAAATGATAACTAATCTATACTATCAACCTTAGAATGACACACCTCACAACATTTTCAATATTAATTTACTTTTATTTAAGTAGCTCCTCTTTGGCCAAGTTATTTCATGTAAATAAACATCATACTTAGCTAGGCTAATTACAGTCTTTAGCGCTCGATTGATGGGCTTATATCATTACTGAGAGTTATCGATAGTCATTATGGGGTATCCCACACCCGAACCCCAGCGTGCTGTTTATGTAACTGTTCTGTGGTTTTCCTATCCCAGTGTTTTCTTTGTTATTTTGGAACTTTGTAATAATTCAGCTGTAGATTTCTAATGTTATATCTGTTAATTAGTACTACTTTCAATTCAGACAGTAATGTATAGAAACTATTTTTTTAGTATGGCAACTACAAAAAAATGAATTCTTCTCCTTAATAAATCCATAAATGGTTATGGGAGTTAGAAGATGAATAAAAGATGTAAGGAGCATATTAAATAAAAATGGCACAGTAACTTTTGATCAAATGTGTCGTGTGTGTAAATAGCAAGAAAAAAAGGTGGCTGCCTCTCTGATTTTTCTTTGGAATGTTAAACCATGCTGGTATAAACACATCATGATATTGCTTAGCTTAATTAAATGGAGAAATTATTTAATTTCTTGGCTATTTGTAACTTGAGCGCCATTTGAAAAGAAGACTGCAAGTGGAGACATTTACACGAACTGTGTGTTACATAAACATAAAAGAGATTTTGGAAATTAAAAAATAAAAGACTACTGTTGGAAAAACAAGCCAAATATTTGTTTTGTATGAGAGGGAAAGATATGAAGAGAAAAATGGTTTGTCAGCAATGTAAGAATCTTATTTACAATGATACAATGAACACAAGGTGACAGTTTGCTTGGATTGTTGTGAGTGAATGGCCACTTAAATGGCCCCCATTATAGGTTTTATTATCTTTTTAAGTAAACAAAAAATTGTTTTCCCTTTATTATTATGTATATATTTTACATTCCAAATATTGATATAAACTTAATATATTTTCAATGGAAAAATATTGATCCTTCTTTTATTTTCTAGCGATTTAGATGTTAACTTTTTACTTTATGTTAGCATATAAAATATATTCTGTAAGGTTACCTTGAATTTATTTGTTTTTGTTTTCCTGATTGTTTACCTTATTTCTGAAAAGTATCTTAGTCTTCCAAAGCATGACAATTAAATTTTATGATAATTTAAAGTTTGGGGTGTATTACACCCTAGAGTGTCGGAATGAGTTGACGTATTTAAGTGTATCGTTCTAGAGTTAAGACTCGTTAAAAGAGATGCACATAGCCAAAGAAAAAAGTTTATCAAAAAAAACCAACTGCCCAGTTGAATTATTAGGTTTTTTTTAGCTCATACCCACTCTGTTTTCATGGTATCTTCCAAATATCACTCATGTTCATTTACAAAATTAAAAATAAAGTAAAGCACGCAATGCAGTATTGTGTTTCCAATACTGTATTTGATGGGTAACAGAGAACAATTTTAGTGGTTTCAACAAATCCTCATTCTACCAAGTCTAAGAAGAAATATCCATAGAAAATAACCCACCCATCACCACCTATGAGGTGTTAAAATTAAAATATAAGCTTTTGCACTGAAATGATCTACATAAAAGAAGTTTACAGATTACTTTATTAATAATTTATATCTGTATCAATAATGAAATAAAGAAATCTAAGCTATTTAGAAATAACTGTCCAACAAATAGTATCTTTTAAAAAGAGGATAGAAATAATTGTGTTAATATTTTAAGAAGGAGAAAAATTTATTTAGTTAAAAAACTGTCAGAATTATCCAGTCTTTACAGCCTTAGGAAAAGAAATGGCTCAATACAGTGACACCACCATTCAAAGGATATATACGATAGAGGAATGGATAATCAGATTTGGAAGAAAAGTAATGACTAAAATTAAAAACTTAAGAAAAGGCAAATATGTGGACTCAGTGGTATATCTAGCATGGGGCAAGTAAGGCATGTGCCCTGAACGTTTAGTGGAGGACACAAAATCCGTGAAGTATCGAACTTAAAATCCATTTAAATCAACAGTACAACTTACATTCAAATAATCACGTGATTCCTGTACCTAACGAGCTGGAGGGAATACAGGTAGCGTAGTACTAATAAAACTTCTAAGGAAATTATGTATATACAAGCTTATGTAAATACCTTACAAAATGATATCCTTATTGAAGTCTTAATGTTGAAAAATGATATCGGAAAAGAGGAAAAACTGCAAAAAAATTTAAATTTATTTTCGACCGATTGAGATGATTTATCTTTAAAAATGTTAGGTTTTTACATCCTGGAATTGCATTAAATATTGATTCCCCTGCTTTTCGAATGAGCAAGAGAGAATGACTGGTGCGCAAAGGCATTTCCATTCAAATTCTGCTTACAGTTGCAGTATCCATAGCAAGATGTCAACGATCTTTCAGTAAGTTAAAATTAATATTTTTATATTTGAGGGCTGCAATGAGTCAAGAAAGAGCTAGCTTTTTTATGTTAACATTGCAGAAGGTGCAATTGTAAGTTTAACTATTTTAGTTTTGTAAGATTTCTGAGTTTTTTATTTAGTGTATCCGTTTTTCATATTACAATAATTTACCAAGGGGCGCAACTTTGATGAGGGCCCTAGGCTCTATTTTTTATTGCTATACCCTGGCATTGATTCTCTTTCAATTCAATTTGAACCAGTTACGACAACAAACACATTGTCTAGAAAAGTATCAAATAATAAGAAGAAAAAACAAGTAAATTATAACATGATAAAGTTAAGTGTTAAGCTGTGAACAAAAATAGTAAATATTTGATAAAAAAAAGATACACATACCTTGAAACAAATATTCTCTCCGGTTGGGAACAGATCGTAAAAACTTTTCACATTTTTCGCATCTTTTAAGATTAACATCAGGCAGAAGCATGTGATTGCTTGAAGATTTTGAGGTTGATTCTTGAGGTTTATCATGTTTATTATTTTCTAAAGTCTTTAATTCATCAATACATAACAGAATAGCACTTTGGTGAAATTCATCCTTAATTCCCATAGACTAAAAAAACAAAAATACCGTTAAAGCAGAAATTATAAGTGATACACCATGATGGTAATGCCCAATAATATAGCCTGGGGTCAGTATAATAGTTTAAAAATGAAAGAAAAAGTAAATTTTATATATATATATATATATATATACATACACACACACAAATATATCAATGATCTTCCTAATTCAATCCACCACTGCTCACACTATCTATATGCTGATGACTCCTTCCCTCTATTTATTATATTTATCCTTATTATATTTAGCCCTATTTATCCTTCCCTCCCACTGACTTGTTAGTAGCATTTGCTAAAATTCAGAAAGACCTAGAAAGGATCAGTACCTGGAAAAGCTTGAATAAATTAAGGCTAAATACAACAAAAACTGAGGCCATTCTTATAGGTTCCAACTCTCTCCTTAGATCCTTTGCCACCATTTCTTCTTTAATTATCAATGATTAACCGATCACCTTCAGCTCCTATGTAAAAACTTAGCAAGTTTCTTGTTTCCTCATCGATTTTCCCCCACTTTGACTACAGCTGAGTCCTGGGCATGACGTTAAACTGCATCCTGGGAGGACCTACATCATAGCCGTAATGAATGGCAATTTGTCTAGAAGGCAACCCCGAAATCAAACCAAGGGTAGGTTGGACTCTTCAGCTGCGATGAAAGCAACTAGCCTTGGGGAGGAAAACCCTGAAGACAAATGATGTGGTCCTCCAGGTTGGGGGTTGAGCGTGGGGCCAACGACCCCTCCTCGGAAAAAAATTAATGTTCAGAAAACTGAGTTAAAAGGAAAGCCAGATGTTTCTAATGGTAAAAGATTTAAGTGTTCTCAACGGACTAAACTAAAATGGAAACAATGAGAGGTTTCATTAGCCATATGGAACGTAAATACAATGTCAAGACCAGGCAAAATGAAAGAAATTGCCGACCAGTTCATTAAGCATAATATTGATATTACGGCACTACAGAAAATAAGATGGAGTGGAAGTGGAAGAATTGATAAAAAGGAGTTCTCCATATTATACAGTGATCCGGATAAGAAAACTGGTCAAGCAGGAACAGGATTCTTTGCGAATAGTAAATTGAAACATTCTATTTTGACTCAATACCTGACCGGTTATGTAAAATAAGAGTCAAAGGTAGGTATAGAAATATATCTTTGTTTTCCGCATATGGCACAACAGAAGATGCTGAGGATGACGTCAAAGAGAAATTTTATGATATCCTGGGAAGCAAGATTGTAATGTACTATTAGGAGACTTCAATGCCAAAATTGGGAAAGAAGCCCTTAAAGGAGTCGCTGGAAGATACTCATGTGAGAATGGTCTGTTACTGGCCCAATGTGCAGAAATGTACAGATTGCGTATAAAAAGCACATGTTTTTCACATAAATAGATACATAAAGGTACTTGGAGGGCACCTGGCATAGATGTTGTGAATCAAATAGATCACATCATGATATCAACTAGACATGCATCAAATATTATAGATGTCAGAAGTATGAGAGGTCCTAATTGCGATTCAGACCACTTTTTAGTTAGAGCTAAGTTAAGGCAAAAGATAGCAAAGGTGGCAAGAGCAGTAACTATCAAACGAACAAAATGGGACACTGAAAAATTAAAAGTGGAGAACGAACTAAGGAATTTTCAAGAGGTTATGGATAGAGAGATGGAGAGAGGGAAGTTAGAGGAAAACAAGGCAGAAGAGGAGAGGGGGCTCAATTGAGAAGAAATGGAAAGTTGTGAAGGAGGCTATAGGCAAGGCAGTGGAGGAGACATTGGGAGAAATTACAAATGGAAGAAATGAAGAATGGTTCAATGAAGAATGTGCGAAAGCCATTGAAGAGAAAAATCAAGCCAGACAGAAGATCTTACACAGGTTCACAAGGCAAAACCAGAAAACCTACAGTATGAAAAGAAGGACAGCTAAGAAAGTATGACGAGAGGAAAAAGAGAAAAATGATTTGTAAAAGGCCTAATATATAGAAATATAGAAATGTTGAACAATGTGCATGAAAGTATGAAATTTTATAAGAAAATTAATTGGTTCAGGAAAGAGTATCAGACGAAGCTGAATAGGTGGACCGAACACTCCTCAGAGTTGCTGAACATTGGTCTGGAGGTGGAGAATGTTGAGAGTGGAGAAGAATGTCAGGTGTGGCAACCACAACCGCTAGTTGATGAACCTGACAGAGAGGATATTGAGTTTGCCATCATGGACATGAAGAACTGTAAAGCTTCTGGTGAGGACAGGATAATAGCGGAATTGATTAAATGCTGCAGTGGTAAAATGAAGGCCCTAATATATGAGTTGATCTGTGAGGTATGAAAAGAGGAAAAGATGCCGGATGAATGGAGGATTGGAATACTATGTCCTATTCTTAAAAAAGGCAGCAAGGATCAGTGCACAAATTATAGAGAAATAATCCTATTGAGAGTACTGTATAAGCTCCTTTCTAGTTTAATATTGAAAAGGCTGCGAAAATACTGAGGAAATTTTAGATGATCACTAGTATAATTTTAGAGCTGGCCTACAGATCAAATTTTTGCTATAAGACAAATGATGGAAAAATGCAACGAGTATGACATTGATCTGCACTTGTTATTCATTGACTACAAGCAGGCATTTGATAGCATCAAGAGATCAGCTCTGTTAAGAATGCTAATGAAAAATGGAGTAACACATAAACTAATTAATGTAATATGCATGACCATGGAAAATGCATCATCCAAAGTTATTATTGGAAATAAAGTTGGTCGATTGTTCAAAGTAAAATCTGGAGTGAGTCAAGGAGATGCCTTATTGGCAACACTATTCAACATAGCTCTGCATGCTGCTGTGAAAGATGTAGCTAAAAAAGGCATCATTGTTGATAAGATCTGGCAAATTTGTGTTTACGCTGATGACCTGGTGATAGCTGAACGAAGTGAAAAGGCGCTTAAAGAGGCATTTGAGATCATATACGAAAATGGCAACAAAGCAGGACTTGGGGTCAATGAAAACAAAACTAAATACCTGAAACTGTCCTCGGCAGCAAGTAGAAGATCCTGCAGTGAAATCAGAATAAAGAATTTTAATTTCAAAAATGTACTCACATTTGTGTATCTCGGTTCTGCCCTAAATAATGAAAATGTAATCAGCAGAGAAATAGACAACAGAATAATGGCTGGTAATATAGCTTACTATGCAAACCTAAAACTTCTCAAGTATCTATTGTTGTTAAAAGCCACAAAAATAAAGCTGTATAAAACGCTTATTAGACCAGTAGTCACCTATGGAGCCAAAACTTGGTGTTTATCGCAAGAGGATTGCCGTAAAATAAAAGTATTTGAAAGGAAAATAATAAGAAGGATTTACGGTGCTACAAGTGTTTATGGTGAGTGGAAAATCAAAAGTAACAATGAAATCGAGGCTATATTAAAGAATCAAAACATTACTAACTATATCAAGGCCAGTAGGCTGAGATGAGCAGGACATGTAGTCAGAATGGAGAATGAACGGGTGCAGAGAAAAATATTGGAAGCACATTTCAGTAGGAAGAGGAAAAGGGGAAGACCGAGAAGCAGATGGAAGGATGAAGTGGAGAGAGATGAGAAGAAGCTAGGAGTTTGGTATTGGAAGAGAGTAGCACTGGACAAAGAGAAGTGGAGAAAAATAACTCAGGAGGCCAAGGGTCATGCTGGCCTGCAGCATCTTGAACTGTTTATTAAGATTTGTTTTCGGTACTTTGAAACGGTCCCATGTGGCCCACCTATATAGCAAGTTAAAGTTGCTTTTCATTTCTTCTGCTGCCAATACTTCTTTAGAAATTTCTTGTACCCAACGATCAGCTCTCATAACCCTTCTTATATCTACCATCTCCTTCAGCACAAACCTTCATTACACTATAGAAAACAAGATACCGTGTCTCTGCCCTCTACCTTCGCTCACATAGAACTAAAACTAGCTTAGCCCGCTCCATTACCTTCTGGAATTCCTTGCCATTTAACAACATCTGTCATCATTCTACCCTCCTTACATCCTTAACAGATGATCTGCAATCGTGAAATTTCATTTTATGAGTTGAATTTTATTAGAAGTAAATAGCAGTGCCTACTGCTTGAGTTTTAACATAAAAAAATCAATGCTTCTTCTTTAATTAGTTTTGCAATTTTTTTCTTTTCTTCAGATTTGGCTTTTTCGTTTTGTATGTGTATATATATGTATATGTGTGTGTGTGTATTTTATACATAATTTTTACATATATTCACCTCTTATTACATGGATAAGCACATAAAGACTAGAAACATATTCCATCTTTTTAATTTAATTTAATAATAGTAAAGTGTATAAAAAAACTAACATAATAAGAAAGATAATTATAAAACAATAGTATTTGAGACATGACTAGGGATGAATAACAGACTTGAATATTTTTAAGCATTAATGTTTTCATTAAAACCATTGATGTTTTCAATTATTCATTAACAGATAAATGTATAAGTAACATCTTTTGATTTTAGACTGATGCATTGAAAACATCCAGTTCTTAAACATCAATGTATTAATGCTTTATATATATATATATATTTTTTTTTTTCACCACTAGTCACAACCTTTAGGTTGCAATATGAGGAAAATATACAACCACATAAAACTTCTCACCTCTTTATGTATAATTAAGTTAAAAGATTAATATGATTATTCAGAAATCCACAAACTGATTAAACACAATCAGCATAAACACTAAATAAAATATTATAATAATATATGATCAAAGCTCACAGCAAAAGGATGTCCTTAATACAAATTTATAAATAGGTTAGTAATCAACCAAAAATTAAATAAAAATAATCGTTAAGAAATTGCTAACTGTAGACTATATGGTTGGGAAGTTAGTTGTGATTGCAGCCAGATAGAACAAAAATAAATATAAAAGATTTTTAGTTTATTTTGTGCCGACATTTTGGCCTAATTTGTAGACCTTCATCAGGGCTGAGAAAATACAAGATAACAACAAAAATTACAAACAAATGCTGTAAAAGGATATGAGAACAAAAAATATGTTGTCCACTAATAAATAAATGAAAACCTGTACACTAAAACGCATGAAGAGTCAAGGCTTGTGCAGGAAGGTGATCAAGGGCCAGGTTCAAGCTCAACTACAAGTTTTTCCCCTTGATTAATTATTTTAATTAAGATTACCCACTTTATAGAGGCTGGGTGTGCCCCAGGAGGGTCTCCCAATCATAGGATTAATCCACAGCTGATAAAAACTTACTTGTCATGGCCAGAATCAAACCTGGGACCTAAAGCTCATCGCCCAGAAAATTTTTAGGGAACACCCACAATTCTCTATATTCTTTGTATCTTGTTCGTTGTAGCCCTTAAGAAGACCTGCATAGTTGTGTTGAAACGTCGGTTAAAAATAAAATATTTTTGCTTACTATTTTAAGTTTTTTTCCCAAGTCCACCCCGGACCATCTCCTTTCTCGATAAAGTAAAATTCTTTTATTTTTGTTCTCTCTTACTGCAATCCCAAACATATATAAAAATACAATTATCTTAAGCAGCAGCAAATTAATGAAAAGTATAGTTGAAGACTAGAACAAAAATATAGGTTAAATACTAACAGAAAGTGTCTCCTTATCAATGTTTGCAAGATCTGTTCCCTTAACATTTCTTGACTTAAAAATATTGATGTACCGAAAAAGATTGAGACTGGTCAATAAATCAATGACATTTGTAGGGCTCCATTGGGATAGTGGCTAAAAACAAAATACAATATTAGAAACAAATATTATATATATAAAAAAAAATTACTATGACAATTTAACACAATGTAAGTAATTAAAAATTATTTTAAAATTATAAAATGAAAATTCACAAATGGATCTTAGCTCCCTTAAGCATAAACCTCCAAGCATTTATGTCATTCATTAGCTCTAGCTTTCCATTTCACTTTTTCCTACTTCTCTGATGGCATTCCCATCACAATCTCACCAACTTATACTTGGCCTGCTCACTGCTCTATGCAAGGGTTCTGTCACCAGCACCTCTGGAATCGCATATATAATTATTATGGCAAATTATAACCTATTAAGAAACACAAACTAAGGAAAATAGTGATAATTTACTAGCACTCCAGAATACTAGCTTCAGACCTTCCCCTTCTCTCACATTGACTCAAGTATTGTTAAGTGTTACAAACTGCTATTTAAAATATTCTGATCTATTTTTAAGATATAATCAAAATCCTTTCACTATCAATCTGTTAATTCTTTTGGCAATTTGATCTCTCCTTTCACCATTATTAATACTCCATTTAGGTTCCAGTTCTAATCTTTTTAATTCACTTCAGTTTTAAATATGTATTTTATTTAATAATATGGAATACTCCCATTAAAACATACATTTTTTTAAGGTTGGAAATTTGTCTATAAGAATATATATTCTTCTGTTTTATATGATATAAGACCCTGTTGGGGGTCTGCCATCAGTTCGTGATCCAGTGAAGTGCCTCAATGAAAGCTATTAAAAATTATAACAATATCAAGAATAGTCTTTTTACTTTACACGTACAGACATCGACATCTTTATACAGACATCGACGTAGTCACATATATTAAACTTGGCAGACTAAGGTGGGCAGGGCATGTGGCCAGAATGAGCACCGTTGAAATACCCAAGAAAATAATGATGGAGGAGTTGCACCTCGCAAGACAGGTAGGAAGGCCGAGGACGAGATGGTTGGACAACGTGGGCTATGATGCGAGAACCCTGCTTGGTGTACGGAACTGGAGAGCTGCAGCAGAAGACAGAGCCAACTGGCGGAGGCTCTTGGAGGAGGCCCAGTCTCGGTAACGGGATGTCGTGCCACATATCTATGTATGTATGTACTTTACACGTAAATTACTAATTACTTTACCTTGTACGTAAACTGCAGCTACTTATTATCCCTCCCAATGCTTTTTGAATAGATAAAAAACCGACCAAGCCAACCTTTGAAGTAGAGGACAGACAAATAATAAATAACCGTTAACAGCCTCTGGCAGCAAATGATAATATTATGTTATTGGAGCAAAGGCCAGTTATAAAGTTTTGAACATTATTATAGATATAACGCATATTTTCACTGATATAAGCAAAATACCAAAAAAAGTAAACTTTTTGAATCGTAAATTCAATTTTTCGACTTGAAATCCACGGGTATGGGGTAACAGACTATTATTTCATGGTTTAAGACTGATTGATTGATGATAAATTGAAAGGGTTTGTAGATTTATAAATGTATAACGCCTTTCTATATATATATATACGCTTACAACCTATGTAGGGTATCTATCTATCTTCACATGACCGCCATTTTGTATTCCAGTGGCTATATGCTGGCAGACGTGCATTTTTCTCATCACACCTGTGGATATGACCAATTTATAAGGACAAAGCTTAGAATGAAATATGACACTTTTATTGCTACGGCCTCCCGGACTACTAGATTAGATACTAGACTCGAGTAGCCTGATTCCATCCCTTTTTAGCTGTTATTAGCACCTTGCAAGTCAGGAGCTAGAATTTTGTAATAACATCAATAACTCTTCAGTAAATATGTAGAATAATTTAAGGGAAACCAAGAAATGCTTGATGTATGATACTTGTACACTATTGACTTGCCTTAAACTTAAACCATCCCATATTTGGAGTCTTGGAGAGAATGCCAGAAAAACCTCACCAGTGAAACTTATATAGAAAAGCATACTAAACTCATAATAACGCCATATTGCAAATGATTCATATTATACATTAATTTTTTTTTATGAAAATAAGAATTAGAATAAACTTCTGATGCATAAAAACTTGAGTAAATTTGAACTCAATGTGTAAATATTATGCTACTATGTAAACATTTTTTTTTTAGAGTAAATAACATGAAGGATTGCATTATTTATAACAAAACAGCTACTGTATTTGGTTTTAAAATTAAAGTGATCAGTAGACTAAATATTTACATAACTGTATAATAGTAATAATACCCATGGGAAATATTAAACATGTTTATTTATTTCTGTGCAAACAAAATCTTACTTTATTTACAAAATTTTGTATTCTTTATTTTCTCCCCCCTTTTCTCTTTCACATCATTCTTAGTCATTAGCTGTTAAGAGACCCTAGTGAAATTTTTGATGTCTCCTTGGTTTTCTATGTCTTAACTCTGTCTTGCCAGCAAATGTTTTATATACTTCCAGTTTATAACCTACAATAGCCCTACTGCTGCAAAGGGTGCATTGAGGACTAATGACAATACCTACGCTATGAAGGTGAGCAACATAATCATGTACTATTAAAGAACTAAAGTTCGACATTAATGTATTCCTAGGCTGTGGGGAACCTCACAGAGAGAGCTCATGATCATTCATTGCTTTCTTTTAATTTTCTTATGGTGCTTCTTAGATTTTGTCACATATTTTTGCAACAACTTAATGCCTTCTGCTATTGTTTAAATCTATGTAGACAAACATCCAGATGCTCCTTCCGCAAATCGATCTTGGTTAAGGAGTATCCTTCCTCATTTCTATGTACCTCACAATGACTCACATTCATTGGAGAATTTATTTCCACCCTTAGTTAAAAGGATATTCATAACAAATTGATATTCTAGCATGTTATGTGTGTTATTACTCTTTACAAATTGTAACAGCTGATATTGCAGCTCGAGTCATTAATCATGAATGAAAATCTTGCATGCAGAAGCAGGCCACTAATAATTAGAATTCCAAATATCAAACCGGTTGGACTATCTGCATCAAATTTTGATAGTGTGATAGAGGCATTTTCCTTGCCCATAGGAGAATAAAATGAAATCCTTTATAAACTGCCAGACAAAATTAAAGGATTACTTCAATATTTTAATTTTACTGAATTTTAATAAAAATGTTTCAAAGGATTCTTTTTGAATATGATATAATAGTTTATTAAAAGAGCAAAGAAATCCAGAAAGAAAAATACATATTATGAAATAAAACCAGTAGGAAGTGTTTCCCCCTCTAGCCCTGATCACTAACAGCATTCTCCTTATCCTGTTCATTCCACCGACCAAGTTCTTTACATCTTCTTCCGGGATGTTGTTCCAACCATCTACTAAAATTCTTCTCAGACCAGCCAAATTTTTAGGGTCTCGATTGCGGACACGTCACCCAAGCATGTTCCATACTTGCTCTATTGGTTTCATGTCCGGATTTTTGGGTAGTCAATCTATAACCTCGATCTCTTCTTGTTAGAGGTAATTTTGAACCAACCAAGCAACACGAGGCCGGACATTGTAATGCATTAAAATTAATTCGCCCCATATATTTCTAACAAAAGGTATCACATATGGTTCTAGGATCTCTCTTTTGTACCTCAAAGCTGTTAAGTAGCGCTGGCCCACAAGAATCAACTCTGTAGTGGAGTTTAAATTTAAAACTTCCAAACCATCACTGAGACTCCTCTAAAAGCAACCATTGGAAAAACATTACAAGGAGCGTACCACTCTCCACGCTTCATCCACACTCTTTTGAGTCCATTTGGAGACCTTAGGCTGATTATGGACTCATCGGTGAATAATACATAGCTCCAGTCTTCTCGAGTTCAGTTTAGGTGTTTTTGGCCAAAACTGAAGCGCTAAACTTGGTGCTCTCTGGAAAGCAGAGGTCCAATTGCTGGAGAATGGGACGTCAATTTATACTCGTTATCGTCTTCTCACTGTTCGCTTTGGGATTTGTATGCTCCTGAACAGCTGTAGGAGAAAAAACAGAGCATCAAATTTTGCGTCCAGTGAGTACCAACTAAGTTAATTTAGGTCACTTAATTCGAATAAAATCAGCAATCACCCGATGGTTAGGAATTGGTGATGAAGATAAACGTTATTTTCAATATTTCAACAGAACAGGTGTCTATTCTACTGAGTTATTTTTGTTTAGAATCTGTTACATGTAGTATAAGCCTCTTTTCCACCTCTCAACAGTGAAGGATTTTGATAAATGATGTGTCGAAAGATACCAATTTTATAACGGAATAACGAATCCCGATTCAAGATCTATAATTGGCCCACAATAAAAATGTCAGTACTCAGTGAACGCAAAATTTGATGCTCTATAACTTTGATTTTATATGTTTTTCCTCTTAGGGAACTCATTTCCAAGTTACAGGGCCATTTATAGTAATTTGTCTTAGTTTTGACCAACCATTTCCCACCTTTAACCTTTAACATCATCTTCAATATTATTTTCCATGTTATCATAGACCCTAAATACTAAAATCTTCTCTACGTTTTCAAACGTAAACCCTTCTACATCTTTAACACCAAAATTGTCACCATTTTTGTAGCTAACCATACATTTGGGCTTGTCAGTATTTATTTCAAGCACCAGTTCTTTACCGGCTTTCGCCAACGATGTTGTAATTAGTTTTATAGTTTCCGTTTGTTTGCTGTAAATTGGAATAAGAATAGATTCTTTCTATACTTCAGGGCAATGTTTCACTCTCACAAATATTTTTAACAAATGTATCTTAGAAACTCCAGCTTCCCCGTATGCCTTAACTAGTTCACTACCCATATTATCAGTACCCACCACTTTGTAAGATATTCATTTTCCGAGAGCTACTTCAACTTCCTCTTTACTCAGTTCTTCCATTAATGGTTCAGCACTCTGGTACTCAGACAGAAGACAGAGATAATTATTTCCTGTATTTAAAATATTGGCAAAATGTTTCTTAAACTTACTTAAAACATTTACTGGATCGATAATCATGTTGTTATTTTCATCCATAATTCCAGTTTTAGGGGTCATACACATTCATGTGATTTGTTGTTAACATCTTTGTACATGTCTCTTATACTCCTATAATTCTATTAGTTTCAATATCTATTAGTTTATTTTTGAAAAAATTTAGTCGTTTCATTCTTTAAGATTGGGAAGTGCATAAGAGTGTATTCAATAGGATTATTTGGAGTTTTTAATTTAGTAACTTTTCTTTTTTCACACATGTTCAGAAATCTTAATCGACCCATGGTTTGTTCTTATATTTTCCCTTTTTCCATGACAGGTGTTATCAATTTCTTCAATGTTATACCTGATCCAAATCCATAACTTGTCTGTCTATATCATCAGAAGATACTAAAGCTTCAAACCTATTCCTAACTTCTAAAAGTTTTTGTCGAAGTTTTGTGATTACTAATTCATGATCTGACGTACAATAAGATCTTAAATTAATAATGCTATTTTGCTACTTATGTTGTATTAAGACGTAATCAATTTGATTTCGTGTTATCCGGAGATGTCCAAGTATATTTATGAATGTCCTTATGTTTAAACTTGATACTTCTAATTATTAAATTTTTGAAGATGACAAATTTTAATAGCTAAATTCCATTATCATTCTTTATTCTTAAAACTTTGGAATCGTATCAGGTCCAATGAGCAGATAAGGTTGATTTTAATTTAGATTGTAAAATTAGAAAGTACTTCATAATTGCAAAGTTCTCCTCCCCCTCGAATTCGAATAGCTGCTGTAAAATAATAGCTAAATGGTTCACCAGAACTCCTCCAGATTAGTATCCCATAGAAAATTTACAGAAAAAAAAAAAAACAAACCTGTGTACCACTAAAACCCATGAAGGGTCTGGGGTTCAGTACTATTTAGGGAAAGTACTGTTTCTAGGTCAACGGTTGTGCAACGAGGTGATTTGACCGATATCACGCTTAACCGCCAGGTTTTCCCCCTTAATCAATTTTTTAATAAAGGGTACCCACTTTATAGAGGCTGGGTGTGCCCCAGGAGGGTCACTCCATGGCCAACGAAACAGATAAAATAAATTTTCTGCCATGAGCCCGGGTTCGAACCTTTAGCATTGGAAGCTCAGTAACCTACCACTGAGCTAGCCCACTCCCTAGAGAATTTACAGAACCAAGTAAACTGAAAGCTCAAGGAACAAAATATAAGGAAAATAAAATATGTTTAAATCAAATGTTATTTTAGATAAAAAATATTTGCCCTTACAATCCCAAAGTTAATTCAAAGTTGACCAAATAAATGGATGAGAAACTTGAAATGATACTCAATGGCTAATTACTGCTAACACTAGTACTCTCGTAACAGGGGTCCTGAGACTTTCACTCCGAAACCGTCAACCAAGATAGCCTCAGAACTCCATACAGAATATATATCCATAATTTAAATTTCATTAAAAGAAGAAATCTTACTACTTGGTAAGGAAGTACTGTTTCTTGGTCAACAGTTATACAAAAGAGATGATTTAACCGAGATCATGCTCAACTGCCAGGTTTTCCCGTTGATAAATTATTTAATATCTCCCAGTGCCCCAGAAGGGTTTCCAGACCTCAGTCAATTCACGGCTGATATTATTATTATTTTATTTCATTTTCCTCCATGTCCTGCCTTTAAAGCAACACAGGAGTTAGCAGCAGTGACTTGATACACATTCCTGCATAACAAATCACTGCTGCAAGTTTATCTTTTCACATTATAATAAGTCTATGTGCTCACAGCCTTCTTTGATTTACTATTCAATTTCTCCTTCTTCCATCTTCTTATACGGCTGATACAACAGAATAAATAAATACTTGTCACAGACGGATTCAAACCTGGGATCTGGAATGTAGAACCACAGGACACAACTCACTGAGCTATCCCACTCTCTTGAGTAAATATTATTAACTTAATTCAAACAAATTTATAAATGTCAAACAATTGCTGAACAAATTAGTTTACTTCAAGAAAAATAGTAAATTTAAAACATTTTTATTTGAATATAAGAGTTATAAGGTTCTGCCTAATCACGATTATTCATTAATTAGTCCAAGTTAAAATTTAAGGTCCAGGTAACCTCCTTTCATGAAACTGCAAATAGTGGGGTATGATTGTGTAAAGATGTGATAATGTTTAACTATTAAGTTAAAATAAAAAAGACATCTGTAACACTAAAATCGATGAAGTGTCTTGAGTTCAGTACTCTTTCTATTGTACAACAAAATTATACTGTTCTAGGCCAACAATTATAAAAGGAGATAAATTGGCAAAAGTCTATAAATATCCCAGGCTTTATAGACACTGGGTTCGTCTCAGGAGGGTCTTCTGACTAAAAGAGTCAATTCACGGCTGATCTAACAAAGTAACTGATCGGCCCTGTACAACAGAAGAACATTACTGTTACTCACTGAGCTAACCCAATCCCTTAGTATTACATTGAAATATATCAATTATACTGAGAAAAAGTATTTTAATTTTGGTTAGTTGAACTCTTAAACAAGTTAAAATTTTCCAGGTTAGTTTCCATTAATTTTAATTAATAATCAATATTTTAATCAAATAAACTTACTTTATCATGAATAGGTGAAGCCTGCAAAACCTCCTTGAGTGGATGAGATGTATAAGTCCCAGAAAACTTAACACATATAGCACGTATGCAGTCATGACAATCAGGAGGGCAAAGAGAATCACATGTACAACAGCAGGAGATATGACAAGAACAAAATAGGGAATGAAAAGAAAGAGTCCGAGCACAGCTCAAGGGAGGAGGAGGAGGAGGCAAATTATGCACAGGAGAAGGAGGTTTTACAACAGAAGGAGAAAATGTCATACTAGAAGTAATAGCTGAGTTTGATTCTCTAAGTGTTGATGCATGTTCTTCGGTATCATGTCTTGAAATATTATGATAGGAGTTGGCTAGAGGCTCGTTCACTCCATTTGTAAAACTGAAAGACCTACGACGGTAACTCATACCATTTATATAGTTGTCTGAGTCTATTTTAATCAGAATAGGAAAAGGAGTGTACTTTAATTCAGAAAATTTGTTTTGTTCACCCATCCTAGCGAACAATAAAAGCTGATTTGTGTTCTATACCTAACTCAGTCTGTCTTTGAGTTTTTTCATAACTTTCGTTATTTAATGTTTTAACATGGAGTATACATAAACATAACAGAATGTTTGATATCACTTGCAAGAGCACATGTGTCTCATTGTTTCTGTTGCATTTTATTGGAAAAAACTCTAATAAACAACACCGAAACTTCCACTGGAGAGACATGACATTGTAAAATTGATGTCAAGCAACTTAATAACGCCCTATTATATGTCACTTAATAATGTAAACACACCGAATCCTCACGGCCTCATAGAAACAGCCATTTTAGATAATAATATTTAATATCGATTACAAAGAGATAATCCTAGCCAACATTACGGTTGTTCAAATCACCGTTCTATTCTCCATTCGGTGTTTCAATGCTAAAGGTTCAAGACGAGCACACCGGAAAAAAATTAATTAACTGTTTTATTTTAAAAGGGTGGAACTCGAAATATTTAAAAAAAATGGTTTCTTTAAGTTAGAAAATAGGTCCTTTGTTTCGAAAATTTAATTTGACATAGAGTTGTACTTTATATTAAACCTATCATTTGATTCTGTAATAAACACTTAATAACCCCAGTTTTTTTTTTCTGGAGAACACGGAAAAATTAGAAACAATAAGGTACACAACATATGTAGGTACCTGTGTTGTTAATTTTCAAGTCAACTATTATTTGATAACGACATCAAGGATATCAGTATAATATTGAAAAATTGATTCTGCTCAAGTAAAATTGAATATAGATTAGTATAAATTGAATATATCTTCCTATATCTATTCTTAGTTATAATGCGGGTTCATCATGTGCAGTACTGCGCTGGACCACAGGGATGATCTCTGTGTGGCTGGATGGGTATCCTCAAAGTGAGAGTGTTTTGAACAGACCTTCTACTTCTCTGTTGGTCTTGTACTGGTTGGTCTGTAAAGGAGACAATATCTCCGTGCAGCGTAATTTGTCTATATAACGCTTGAGAGTAAAACATTTTTTTTTCAACCTTCCTAGCCATTTCTGGCATACGGATTTTTCAACAGCAGTAGTATTGAAAATGGGGTCTGCGTATGCCACTGTCGCCGATACAACTATCTTTAAGCGTTTCATACTTCAATATATAGGTATATTTTAGAATATGTTTATATAGTTAGGAACATCATTAACAGGAATTCTGTGGTGCAGCTCGGTATGCTGCTGCGCACCTTTTGATCGGGCTACAATTTTTTTTCTTTCTATTCTTTGGTGGCTATCAACCTTCTTCTTTACTCCTCTGGGTCCGTTGGCCTTTGGAGAGCCGGTTCTTCCTCTCCCTCTGCTGGGCTCTCTTTCCCCAAGTTGAAGTGTGAGCCCCACCACTTTCTTCCACCTCTTCTCGTTCTTCGTGAAGTGAGGGTGCTTACCCTCCGCCATCAATCCTGAGAGATTTTCTTCTCCGAGGTTGTATAACCCAATTTTCCTGTACAACCAGGATCGGTGTTGGTCCATTTTTGCGCATGTCAGCATGGTGTGTTCCACTGCGTAGGGAATGCAGGAGCATGTAGGGCACCGGAGATCAATATTCTTTCCATTCTTATTCAATTTGCTAAGAGTTATCAGAGCGCAGGCTTAGCAGCTTTTGACAAATTTTTCAATGTCACGATCAGTGTATATCCATTAGCAATATTTCCTGGCCAAACTTTTCATTTTTTGTGTTTTTATATGTGTTGAATGTAGTTCATTGAGAATCGCAGATTAAAAGGCTTGCGGTATCAATGCCCTTTGAAAATGACACCATCTTGCAGGGAAAACTGTTCATCTTGAATTTCCCCATTCTTCGGAAAAACGAATTTTTCTTAACTTTAGTTTCTGTGATATACACTAGGTGGAATTATTACATATCAACGGGTTAAGAGAAAAAGGATACATTTTAATTATATATGCTAACAACATTGAAAGTACATTTGATTTTTCAAAATGGTACTTAATTCTAAGAGTTCTAAATTGCTGGAAGAATACCTCGCAGATGGTCGTGTCTGAAGTGATTATGTGGGGGCTTCATGAGATCGTCGTGTTTTAGCTTGCATCATGTAAGGGAGTTCCGGAGCATCTCTACACCAATAATCAGCAAGCATTGCTTCATTCCAATATTCCTGATATCTTTGTCCCATAACAGAAACGTCCTGATAGAATCTTTCTTTATGTTCATCACTAACAACTCCACAACTAGGAGAGAAAAAGTCTTGATGGGATTGGAGGAAATGGATTTTAAGGGGCATAACATCCAAGGTTATGGTACTTTTGCAGGTGCACTGTCAACAAATGCGTGTAGTTTTCATCTCTTTTGTTGCCTAAAAATCCACGAACAACTCCCTTGAAGGGTCACCAAGCTTCCTTTTCTTTCCCTTCCAAAACTTGGTCAAATGCAGGATCCTTTACAAGAACTCAAATTTGTGGCCAGACAAAAATGTCTTTATTAACTTTTGCATCACTAAATTGCGGACATTTCTCTCTTATGTACTTAAAGGCCCGTCCTTCTTGGTTCATACCTTTGTCAAACATTTTCATCAAACCCAGCTTGATATGCAGTGGTGGAAGTAGAATATCTTTTAGATCTACTAGAAGCTTGGCCACGACATTTTTCTCGCTAGGGTTAAGATTTTCTGCAGTCCAGTATGCTTTAATATAATGCAATTTCCGATTTCTACTATCCCACATATATAAGAAGCAAAAATGTTGTGTGTACCCCAGTTGCATTCCTTAGAGTATGGAGATGACTTTTAGATCACCACAGGTTTTCCATTTGTGTTAATTATATTTGAGTGAGTCCAAGAGGGCTGTCATATTTGCATATGTCTCCTTCATGTAAACTGCATGACCAACAGGAGTAGAAGAAGAAACTATTGTTCAAGTAACGCAGCTGCAAACTGAGCTTGGAGGAATCTATGAATAGCCTCCATTCAATTGGATCATGGTTCAAATTGAAAGATTTCATCAAGCCATTAATGTCGCAGCTAACAACAATATTATTTTTCTTCTCAATAACGTGAAGCAGTTCCCTGTGACGTTTTCTGAACTGTGAGATTCTGACATCACTTTCGAGAAGATTCCATTGCTGTAATCGAGACCCAAGAATTTCTACCTTCTCCTTTGACAGGCCATGGTCTCTAATGAAATCACTCAACACCGTTTGACTCAGTCTGTGCGGTTTTTCATATTTTCCCTTAAAATCAGGGTCACGGGATATGGAAGGTTTGTTTGGTTCTTCTTTTTGTTCCACACTGTCTTCAGTTTCTACTTCAAACTCACAATTTTCGGGTGTAGTAGGAACTGGTAAACTGTCTGAATGTAGAATGGGTCGAATAGCAGATCGAAGATTCGGGTTCTGAACTGTTCTTCTTTTCTACGTAGTCAATCCTGCCTTTACAGGTGGAGTCAAGCAGAAATAGCTGTCATCTGTATGGTTTGTAGGCTCTCGCCAAACCATAGAAACAACCATAAATTGTAACCTTTTAAAATATTTTTAAGTTTGAAAACAATATTTAAAATCCACCTAATCAAGGCAATGACATTGTTTAAACAACTATTTCATCGCACTTGTGTGAAAGAAGAAATAAAATATAAAATCATTTCATGGATGTATAAAGCATATATTTATAACCTTAAATACATTTACTAAAGTTAAGTGATTATAGACCTGATATTATATTCAAATAATTTGGTATCAACGTTCATTCCGAAAAATTGTCATGTAACTTTTTAGAAAATTAAATTAGTGAATAATTTGATGAATTTTCCCTTTTTGAAATCCCAACATTATGTAAACAACATGTTAAAAGTTAATTGTAAATAACCTTTTGGCGGGAATATTGAATATTCCTTCCGTTGAATCGGGGGGACTGGTTTAATTACACTCGTGAATATTAAAACAAAACCCCGGCACTGGATATAGACTTTTTGAGGGTGTTTAACTGTCTTTGGGAATTCGGGAATCTAATACCTTTTTGTGACACTGAGTGACAAGAAACAATAAGTATATATATATATATATATATATATATATGTCTTCACATCACCTCATCCAACTATCATACAATATCCAGACCCCTGCGATCCTTCCTAAAACCATAACCCTCCGCAATATAAATTCCCTAACCCGTGAAACCATCTTACCCGGTATTGAAACCCTGAATTGGAATGATGTTTACACCAGCTCCTCAATTGATACCATGGTAGATATCCTGACTTCTAATTTCCTCCATATCCTCAATACCCATGCCCCACTTAAAACCTCTATAATCCGCCGCCAACCTGCTCCTTGGATGCGTCAAGAAATTCGAAATATGCAAAAGAGACGTGAGGCAGCCCGTAGATGCTTTAGAAGAACCAGGCTTGCAGATGACTATGAAGCGTTCAGGGTACTCCGTAACTTGACGCAAACAACGATCAGGCAAGCAAAAATCAATTACTTTCATGAAGCCTTCTCCTCAGCTCCCGATTCTAAATCCAAATGGCATTTACTCCGAAAGCTATCTCTTTGCAAATCATCTTCTTCCATAGCTGTCCCAGTCTCTCCTGATGCCTTAAATTGCTACTTTTTATCCTCCTCCTCTAGTAATATTTCTCCCGCCTCTTCTTATATTCCTGTATTATCTGCATTTAATAGTGACAATTTTTATTTTTCCTACATCACTCCTACGAACCTTATTTCCCCCATAATGAAATCCCAATCCAATTCTACAAGAATTGACTAAATACCTGTCAAACTGTTAAAATTATGCCTCCCTGAAATCCTTCCAGTTCTTCTATTCATTTATAACTTTTCCCTTCAAAATTCTGTTTTTCCTACATCCTGGAAAAAAACCTTAGTCTGTCCTATTAACAAAATCCCTAACCCCACCTCTCCTAAAGACTATCGTCCAATTTCCATCCTCTCAAATCTGTCAAAACCCCTCGAAAGAATAGTCCAATCCCAAATTTCCAATTTTCTCGAAGAGTTCAAATCCTAGAACAAAGAGTTTAGATCCTCGCCAATCTGGCTTTCGCCCAGGCTTCTCCACTCAATCCGCTTTAGTTAAAATCACAAATGACATACATACTGCAATTGACGAAAGAAAACTGACTGTATTAGTACTCCTGGACTTCTCCAAAGCATTCGACTCCTTAGACCATTCTATTCTTTGCACTAAATTAAAATCTCTATCCTTTTCCAATAGTTCTATCCAATGGTTCCAATCCTTTCTTTCTGACAGGACTCAAGCCGTTAGTATTCCGAATCAACCCTTATCTTCTTTCCTCACTTTGTCTCATGGAGTAGCCCAGGGTTCAAGCATTTCTCCCATCCTTTTTAATTCTTAAATCAATGACCCTCCTAGTTCAATCCACCATTGTTCATACCATCTATATGCTGATGACTCCCAAATTTATTTTTCCTTTCCGCCCACTGAGTTATTAGAAGCGTTTACGAATATTCAGAGAGACCTA